TAAGAGGGATGCTCACATACTGATACAAGCCTTTCCCAATGTAGATGACTCTTACAAGGAAGCATTTTGACTTGTTGGAGGTCACTTATGGTAATATAGAACAAAGTAGGTTGGATCTAGTGAATATCATTGTTAATTTAAAATCTCCAGATCACACTTACAAAGGTTTACAACATTTAAGATTTAAACTGGAGAGCACTCTCAAAACTTAAAGTAAAAAAATATAATCTGAAGGAAGCAGACGGTTATTGAGTGCCATGGTACAGAATAAATTAAGCGTAAAACACTTGAATAAATCTAAAACAAATTCAAAAGGGGTTATTTTGGTCTGGAGGAAATAAAAACTAGGTCTAAAAGAATTAATTGTGCAGTTGCAGCCCAGCCAACTAACTCATAATAGCTCTGAGGTATCTGTCAGGTTTCACAAAGGGAGAAATTTTAAATACCCAGTAGTAATAATCAAAATTCATTCCTGAAAAGAGTTGCATAGGTGCATATCAAGTACAAGAATCAGAAATAAGTTTCCCTCCACTAGGTAAGAAGAATGAGTACCCTCCTAAGAGTAGCCCAGTTAATAAGAAACCAATCAGAGAAAAGATTGTCTTTTCTGCAAGGGTACTCTTTTATCTAAGAATTGCAATGCATCCCAATTCATGGAATGATAAAGTTGAAAGATTGGAGGAACTTGACAGATGTATCAGATGTTTAGGTAATCACAATGTAAAGGATTTTTTATGCCAAATTAAACTTCTGTTATCAATGTCAAAAAGGGAAAGACACCATATAGTCAGGTGAAAAGGGTCTATATGATAATTTGATATAATGATAATTTTTACAATCCTGACACAACAGTGGCAAAATGTAAAAATTGCTGCTAATGTTAATAAAGAGGTTTTTTGCTGAAGAAAGCCTTGCCTGTGTTACAGGTAAAATTGATGTAAAAGGCATAAATCAAAAAATGTAACTGCATTATTGGACCAGGGATCCCAGCGTTACTTCATAAAACATAATGTCTTGATGGTATGAAAGTACAGATGGGAGATCCCACAACTTTAAAATTATCTGGTTTCTCTCGGATAAAAGGGCTCAATTGTATGAACAACTGTTTATGTAACTGTCAGGGGGGCAATGAGAAAAAACGTGTTAATGCAGTAATTGTAGACAGACTTCCAGAGAAAATAGCTACAGTAGGTTAGTTAAAGCTACAGAAAGACTTTCACATAATGTAAATTAGCCCCTTCAGGTGTAAGTGATGATTATGAAGGCCCAATAAATATTTGATGGGTAGTGACTATTATGCCTCCTTTGTAAAGGGTAGGTAAAAGAAAAGCGGTGTCACCCTTTGAAGACTGCAGGAGGCCATGTAATGTACAGTAGGATTCCTCGAAATAATAATTCAGACAAGAGGAAACTACAAATACCATAACTGTGTGTCTTACTCATGAAGTTGAAACCCCAGTGTAATTCTTCCATAGAGGATGGTGTTGAGCCAGTGCATAAATTGTGGGAATTAGACAGCATTGGAAAAAATGAAAAATGAAGAAAGTCCAGACGATTCTTTACTCAGGGCAGTTCCTAAAAGATGTGAAATTTGAATCTGACAATACTGGGTACAAACTTCCGGAGACTAAAACCATCCAGAATTGCCCACTAATTACAGAATGGCATATGGCAGTTAAAGGCTCAGCTCCGCAAACTGAGTAAGACACCAGAATTGTTAACTGCCTATAATGATAAAATTGCTGAGCAGTTAATTAATAAATTTATAGAAGAGGTACCTCCGAGCAAGCCAAAATTTATGGTCACTATTGCCACATCACGGAGTGAAGGATTCTAAGACCACTCCTCTGAGAATTGTGTTTAATTGTAGTGCCAAGTAACAAAAATGAACCAGTTTAAAAGACTGTTTGATGACAGGTCCGTCGTTGACGGAAAAATTAGGAGATATCTTATTAAATTTCAGGATGAAAAATTATGCCTTTACGGGTGACATAATTTAAGCTTTCCTAAAGTTGGTTTACAAGAGCTGACCGGGATTGTACCTGCTTCTTATGGCCGAGAATCCTATTGACCCACTTAGCCCTCTGAAAACCTTTTGCTTAGGAGCGTATTATATGGTGCTACATCCCGTCCGTTCCTACTTCAAGCACGATAAATGCACACCTTAAATGTACGGGAAGTCCATTGAGTAAAGTTAAATGAGAAACAATTTTATGTGATAAATTTCCTGGGTGTGACTCAACTGAAGAGGAACTGTTAATGACTTATAGAGAGGCTAATAAAAATAATGCAAAATGCAAATATGCCTCTGAGGGGAAAGGAATAGTAATTCGTCCAAATTTAAAAAGCAAAAAAAAGTAAAGATTACCCTGGAGATAAGTGCCAAATGTAGTAATGTAATTGGGATTAACTTGGGATACTGAGAGAGATTTGTTAATGCTAAAACCTAAATTACCCGAAAGCCCAATAAATTAACTAAGAGATTTTTGCTTGCTGAAGTTTCCAAATGTTTTGAAACCATAGGTTTAGTGTCACCCCCTTTCATAAGAGGGAAATTATTAATTCAGGAAGCATGGAAACTTAAATGTGCTTGGGAAAGAAATTCTACCTGAGGAATTCATTTAAAAGGTGGGGTGAATTAATTGGTGATTACGAAAAAATTCCAATGTTGGAGTTCCCAAAGCCAGGTGGCCAAACCGAATGGGAAAAATGTACTGCGCATTTTTGTGATGCTTCAAATTGGCATATGGAGCAGTTGCTTACCTTCAATGTAATAGGTTTTTTTTCTGTTGTTATGTCTAAGGCTAAAGTGTCTCCAATTAAATCACGTACCTTGCCTCAATTGGAATTAACAGCCATTTATGTAGGTGTCCCAAAATTTGCTAATTATATAAGAAATAAGTTGCATGAAAAATATTAGCGACACTGTAATTTGGTCTGATAATGAGGTATCCTTACAATGGATTCGTAATGGAAACAGTAAAATTGTGTACGTACAAAACAGTCACAGAAATTAATCAGATGCAAGAGAAGTATAATAGTTTGGTCAGCATATGTTAACATTTAATCATATAACTGGTGAGGAGAATCCAGCTGATTTCTTGTCTTGAGGTTTATCTTATGCTAAATTTGTAAATGCTGTATCATGGTTTAAAGGACCAAGTTGGTTGTTAAATAAAGCTAAATTTGGGCCCGTACAAAATGCGTATATTGCTCCTGTTTTAAATTACTGTGACCACACTCCAATAGTTTGTTCCTCCCTTAGCCATTGATATAAATAGGGATTCTTCTTTACCCAAAACTAATCAATGTAACTAAGTAGGTGTTTAAATTTCTAAACAAGATGAATATTTCATATAAGTTTTCATATCCTCTTGAATATTGGATAAAGAGGGTACAAGAAGAAATCTATGGAAATGAGATTAAATTCATGATGGAAAGAAAAATTGTGAAAGGTTCCATAATAGAGAAATTGGGGCTGTATTTAGAGAACAATGTAATTAGGTGCAGAGATAAGATAAGATAAGAGATAAGATTTCGTTCGGATTTTTAACCCCGGAGGGTTAGCCACCCAGGATAACCCAAGAAAGTCAGTGCATCATCGAGGACTGTCTAACTTATTTCCATTGGGGTCCTTAATCTTGTCCCCCAGGATGCGACCCACACCAGTCGACTAACACCCAGGTACCTATTTGCTGCTAGGTGAACAGGACAATAGGTGTAAGGAAACGTGTCGGAATTTCCACCCGCCGGGAATCGAACCCGGGCCCTCCGTGTGGAAGCGGGAGCTTTAGGCCACCAGAATTGGGTGATTATGCTAACTCCCTAACTCAAACATCTAACAAATTTGAATTTTTCTAAATGCCCATAAAAATGTAATGCATGGTGGGGTACAGGATACCTTAAATTGTATTAGGGAAACTTTCTGGATTCCACAAGGACGGCAAAGTGTAAAAAGGGTGATTAAATCTTGTGTAATATGTCGCCGTGTGGATGCCAGATCCTATATGTACCCAGGTCCTCCACCAGTGTCAAATGAGTAATTTGAATCATTTAGCAACGAACTCCGGCCGGCCGCAGTGTGGAAAATACTGTATATATTTTCCAGAAATTCAGTATTTATGTGTAAATAGATGGCCATACTGTATTTAATAATATTTATGTCATAGAAAACGGAAAGCCTGCGTCTGCGGAGACGGAACTCGCCATCTTGGTTTTGAATTTTGTACAAACGGTGTAATGGGAAGAATTTTTCGTGCTCTAGAGGCTAAAATTGTGTTGACACCTGTCAAATAGGAGGCGAAATTGGTGGATGTGCATTCCTGCATAACTTGAGATATCAGACGACTGGACAAGACAGCTCTAGGAACCTCAGATAAGCTCTCTAGATTTGTGTGTAATTCTGGCCAGCATTATTTTCATAGATTTAGTTAGAGTGAGGTTTTCTGAGTATGATACACATTAATCTCCAGTCAAATTGGTGAGTGATATTAAGATATATTTTCCTTCTGTTATGTAATTGTGTATATATGTAACCATTTATTATTTTTAATATACAGTCCACAAATTTATATATTTACCAGTATTCCTGGTGTATGTATATTTCATTTAATTAATAGGTTCAGAGCAACTTGTGGTTATGACAGTGGTAGGTATCGAAGGGGGACATTTTTTGCGACCTAGTTGTCCCAAATTCCTACTTGTCTATGTAACATTGATAAATAATAATTATCTTTGTTATCATTTACTGTTATGTACATAATTAGTTACATTCAGATAAATGCAATTTTCCACAATTGTAATCTTTATTGAGAATAAACTTGATCTGATTTGACTTGATTTAGTAGTAACAGTAGTATTTTATTACTATGAATGACACTGCTAATTCTTTGCTAATACTAACTTATCCTTAGTACCATTAGTATTATTCTATTATTATTAATACTGCTACTACTGTTAGTACTATTATTATTTATTGTTATTATAATTATGTACTGTTATTGTTTTAGTGTTGTTGTTGCTGGTCAGGAGCAGTACTGACACTGTTGTGGCTGCCAACGTTCCCTATTTCCCGGCTTCCTGGCTTATTTTAAGGTGAGAAAGGGTGTTATTTCTCATAGCCGGCTGGAAATATATCTCTTGGATGCTACACACCTGAGAAATACATTAAAAACAGGGAATTATAAGGATTTTTTTTTGTCATTTTCGGGTTTCAGTCTGACTGACAAAATTATTTTTTTAGTATCACCTTGATAACTGAAAATCCTAAATAAAAATGACAAATATTGACGTGTGACGTGTTTATTGATCATATTTGGCACACTTATAAATAATTGTGTTGAATAAGATCACTAAAAAAGAAATTAATCGAAAATCAATATGAAAATATATTATCAGTGCCAGTGGCGTCTGTCTTGTACTGCCTTTTTTACTGTTATTTTCCGTTATTATATATCTCTAGCTGATTTATGCTGCCACTGAACTATAGTTTTACTTAGGAAGACATTTACTTTAAAAGTCACTTTGACTTTATTTTGGGTTAACCTGGGGTTTCTACACATATATTGCTATGTATGATATCTATGTAACTATTTATGTATACCTGAATAAACTTACTATGTCATCTTTGTGTGTGACATATGCCAGAACTGTGCAGTATAATCAAAATGAGGCATTACCAGGGATATATAAAGTTGAAGTACCTGGAGTTTACCTGGAGAGAGTTCCGGGGGTCAACGCCCCCGCGGCCCGGTCTGTGACCAGGCCTCCTGAAGTACAACCTGAGGATGACTATTATTTTGTATTTTTTGATGTGAAGCCTAGAATTCTACTACTTTTATTGCAAACATTTTTACACTGTTGTCTTGGCTTTACTGCTAACTAGAACTTCTAAATCTTTTTTTGCATTCAGTGTGATTGAGATCTACATTATTCAGTTTATAAGTTACATGAATATTCTCTTTCCAGGCTTAGATTATTATTATTATAATCAAGGGGGAAGCGCTAAACCCGGAGGATTATACAGCGCCTGGGGGGGGGGATGTGGAAGGCATTCAGGCTTAATTCGGGGAACTGGAGCACAGATTCAATTCCCCAAATCAAGAGCCCCTCACCAACATCAAGGAACCTTCCTTGAGGGGTTTCCAGGCTTAGAGTCTTATATTTATCTACATTAAACTGCATCTGCCACTTCACTGCATCAGGCTATCAAAATCTTCCTGTAGGACTCTAATGTCCTCATCAAAATTAATCTAATGGCCTATTTTAGTGTCATCAGCAAACTTCCTTATACACTTCTTCTTGATGATTTGTCGGTGCTTCCGGCCCGGGTCTTCTCCAGATGGTGACCCGGCGTCCTTATACACGTATCACTATTTATTCCCTCATGTGTCCATTATATTGTGAACAACAAGAGGCCCAACTTTGACATGAGCCAGATGTATTGACTTGCATGGCTTGCCTATCTATTGGAAGAATTTTACCCTGGCATTCTGTTCTTCTACTTTATTGTATGAAATACCAGGCCAGATACAGTTTACCTGGAGAGAGTTCCGGGGGTCAACGCCCCTGCGGCCCGGTCTGTGACCAGGTCTCATGGTGGATCAGGGCCTGATCAACCAGGCTGTTACTGCAGGGCACGCACAATCCAGCATACGAATCACAGCCCGGCTGGTCAGGTACTGACTTTAGGTGCCTGAACAGTGTTGGGCCCCTGAAACTTTGTTGTGTTGTCTCTTAACGTGCTAGTGGCACCCCTACTTTTCATTGGGAGATGTTGCATCGTCTTCCAAGTCTTTTGCTTTCGTAGGGAGTGATTTTCGTGCATGTTTGGTACTAATCCCTCTAAGATTTTCCAGGTGTGTATAATCATGTATCTCTCCTGCCTGCATTCCTGTAGGTACTGTAAAAATATGTTCAGTTTTCCCTGTGCAATATTGATTTTATTTCCTAGCCCTTTTATAATCTGAGACAAGATAGTTTTGACACAATAGACAGTTTAGTTTTAGTTGTTTTACTATATCACTTTTAGCATTTCTAATTTTTTGCAGGTCATCATAGGCTATGTGTTCTCTTGTAAGAGCATAAAGCTTACCATCTTATTCTGGAAAATGCTCATTTTGTTTTTTTAAAGTTTTAGTTTGAGCAAAATATCATGAAAATTTGATGTGTACTATGTTAATGATATGTTTTGTGTTAGTAATTTGTATTAATATTATTTTGAGTTTTTCCCTGTTATTTTTCAGCTGTATGTGATTCAGCATATACTTTGCAGACTAAACTTTGGGCATACTTGTAATCAGATGACCTTCCAACAGGTTCCTCTAGTGAGATCCACTGACCTTCCAGCAAAGTCCTGCAGTGAATCCAGCTGATCTTCCAGCAAAGTACTGTACTCCAATGCGATCAGCTGATACTCCAGAAGAGTCCTCGAGTGAGATGGGTTCTCAAGGCAGTAATGCACTTATGGTAAAGAATACACTCAAGAATAATATATCTTCAATTCTAATGAACGTGTCTTTCAAAAATAAATTAGATTAAAGTTGGCTACTTTATATGCTTTTTTATTTATATAATGCCTAGACAGTGTCAAGGCATGAGACCTTGTTTATAGAATACTTAAAAGCATTCTTTACTCTAAGACATTTCTTAAATTTAGGGGAATGACTTGTTTAGGACATATCTAGTAATTAGGGAAGATTGGATTGAGCAGTTTCTCTAGTGTGACTTTACCAGTGATTACCCTTTATGGTAGATTCCTCTGTGGTAGTCCACCTTAACACCAGAATGGGAGTTGAATATGTCATAAGGATGATTGCTGCTGGTGGTTTCCTATGGGTCTAAGAATGGCAACCAAAAGTGTATGATTCCTAGTAGCCTTTCTGGTTTACCCACCCCATTGTTAGCTAAATGTTCATAATATCATCAGTGCTTTTGGTTTAAATAAGCAATTTTGCATAAACTTTGTTCCTTTATATTTTGTGGAAACTAACCTAGTAGCTGTCTGGCAGGTAATGTAGAGGATGGTTTGTAAGGAAGGAAAGTAAATGGGGTCCGAGTCTCAACCCCCTGCATTTTTTTTTTACATCTCATTTTCCTTTCATCCAACTGGTTAGTAAAAACCATACTCTTTCGTCCAGCTGTATCATGGCTTTCCATACAAAAAAATAAGTAACCTTGTTGAAAGGAATCCTATAAAGCTTCTGTAGATACTAAACTCTCAGTGGGATTCTTGAATCTGTCTTCATTGCAGTACTGAAATTTCCCAGCTCTGGCTGACAGATTTCATTTCTTTTTTTAAAAACACATCCTGATTATGGCAATAGAAAACTATCCTGTGTGATGTGTTAGGTTAAAGATGTTGCTCTAACATCTTATTATGTCATATAGATAAGGCTTATTGCACAATGCAGTTGTATTAATTTTGTAAAAAAAAAAAAAAAAAAAGCTCCCACCCTGCTCACTCTGTCATCTTGGATAATTCTGTCTGTGCATTAGGTATAAGAGATCTAGCCCTTGGTATACATTTCTTCCTTGCCAGCTATAAGCTAACTAAAAAATGTATGATATAAACACTGTGATTGTTTGCAGGAATGTGAAGGCTGTAACAATGCGTTTGACCAAGAAGAGCGGCAGCCACGCATTCTACCATGTGGCCACACCTTCTGCACTAGTTGTATTGGTGCTATTTTGAAGGATTGCAAAGTTTTTTGTCTCAGCTGTCACGTCGAACACCATGCTGAGTCTGTGGAGCAGTTCCCTCCTAATTGTGACTTGGAATCAATTATGAGAGCATCAATGATGGATGTTGACACCACTCCACCACTTACAGCAACTTCAGTCAATCCACCAGCATTGGCTGCAGGAATAGCAGAATTAGGCCAAGGTCAACAGCAAGGTTTAAGCAAAGAGTTAGTAGAAAAGAAAATGGAAAAAATGAAAGCCATAGCAAATGTCCAAGTAAGAGTACAAGCCACATTAAATGGTCTGGATCAGTATGCAATGCAGATAGCAAAAATGAAGGATGAACATATGAAACTAATGACCCTGCTTGAGGGTCTTTCAACATTCCACCAAGAAAGGATACAGTTGCTTGAGGAAGATGATGCTCGCCTTACTGAATTACAAGCATATCTTGAAGACCTAAGGAATAATTTAAATGAATAAATAAAACTCTTAACATATCCAGGTATTGGATGATATACTGATAGAGTACAGTAGTTGTATATTTATCTTGAGTTTAGTTTTTGTATACTGTTAGGCCCCCAAATTCACATGGGATGACAGTCATAAAGTTTTTGCGAATGTAAAATTTGTGAAGTGTAAAATTGTCTACATGATTTTGTTTCAGATTTGAGTTTATTTTATGTTTTGGTGGCTATTCTCTTTTAATATCACTAATCTGGTTAATATTGACATTCATGAGAAAGAATGACCAGAAAAGAAACTAAACACTTTGCAGAGAACAGAGTTATAGAGGCATTTTGCCTGTAAGTAGGAGTGCAGTCATGGTGTGAGAGGGGGCACCTCGGGAGGACTATTGGTCCTTGTGTGCACACTGTTGATGACTTGTTTGTAAAAGAAGTTGGGCCAAAGGTTTGTATATACTATAAGCATTTTTATTCCATTAGTTTGTGTTTTATTTACAGATCAGAGCAGTTGCCAGGCATCTTTGTTGTGTTTTGACCATTTCCATGATGACTAGCTGGGCATCTTTCTAGGATATAAGGTGTGCTGTGCTGTTTTGCCCTTATGTATGATGCAAGCATTGTTTGTGTTGCGAATCCTGCATGCCTATTGGCCTTGGTGGCTCATAACACCAGTAATACCTATACTATCGTACCGCATCAAACTTCTATTTTTAATAATTTTTTATATCGTTTCAACAACAAAAAAATAGAAATTTGCTTATAAATATATTGAAAACAACATACAACAGATTTTTCCTGTAATATATTTGTCATTTGCAAATTATTTTAACATAAGGTTGATGAAGTCACATCTGGCATTGAGCATCTGGGGGATTGCAGCTCTGCAGCTCCTATGGATGAGCTGCCACTGCCTATTGGTGTTCCTGATGTCTGGTCTATAGGCTGCAGGTCTCTCCCATATATTAGTACTTACAGCTACCATTGCATATTATGTAAACACCTGCATTACTGAGGTCCAGATGCTTTGTTCCTAGTCAGGTCTTTGATGGTGTTCAGTGTAATGGTCACATTTCTCTCTCTTGGAGAGGATGGGTGTATTATACCTGCTATTTGGCCTGTAGAAAAGATGAAACTTCTGTTTATGTTGTTCACTGGTTGTGGTGGAGTGAAGATTTTGTGTGCTCAGTCCCTGCAGCTACAGACAAATTGTTGATAAATTAGATACATGTGCAACACTTGGGTATCTTTAATGAGGAAACGTTTTGCCACACAGTGGCTTCATCAATCCATACAAAGGAGAATTGTGAAGAACAGGAGGAGTTTGAAGTAATCAGTCCCTCAGCCTTGAGTCGATGGAATCAGTCCATCAATCTTGAAAAAATTGATAGGCAGATGATGAGGTGCAGCAGTCGTAGGTGGTAACACACTTGTCCAATGTGGAAGTAGGTCATGCCCAAGGGTGAAGAATTCCCAAGTATTAAGATCCCAAGAAGTTGCAGTGTCAGACAGGATTGCAGATGAATGGTTCAGAGAACCGACAAGTTGATAAATTAGACACGTGTGTAACACTTGAGTATCTTTAATGAGGAAACGTTTTGCCAAACAGTGGCTTGCAAATTGTGTCCATTTTTTTTTTCCCACTAGTCAGCTTTACACCATTATTCTCCAATGACCAGAAAGAAAAGGTTTAAGCATGGGAAAGCTAGTGAGCACATTTTGAATACTGTATTTAGTTTCCAATTTAAGGGTCATGCACCATGCCTGAAAAAAATAAGTACCATGAGAAACCCCATCGATAATAAAATTTATTCACAAATTGCTCACCATTAAAACAGATAATTCTTTTTCATGAATTGTTAACCTCACTAATTTGGGGACTGAATACAGTAGACCGTAGACTTCACATCATAACTCTTGATGATCCCAGTGAATAATGAGTCTCTCTACTACCATAGAAAAGTTTGTTAGATGAAGGACTATGTCTTTTATCCACCTCATTTCATCATTATTAATGTATTATCATAAAGTACTAAATCCATGGGGATCATACAGTTTGATCCAAGCAAGGGAAGGATAGCTCCTTAAATAGTCAATTCCATTTCAGTATGATGTGTTAATAACAAGGCGTGGATGTTATATATCCACACTACTTCACAAATATAATGATTGACTTTCTTGGAACAGTCAGTTTAAATGATTATGTGAACTGTGCACTGTTCCATTCCTTCCACACTCTTGAGGTCACTATGAATTCTGAGAATGCACATACCTTTGCAGTACAATTATAATAGTGTACAATTTGCACTCAGTCATTTATATCACAAACAGTAACCCTGTGAAACTTCCTTTAAAAGCTTTTCCATTGTATACATTTAGCCTCATTCAGAAGCTGTTGCTTTCTATTGTCTTTTAATGAACAGACCTAGTTATATACCTTTCATCCTTCATCATTCATATCTCCAGCTTTAACCCAATTAAAAATTAGTACTGTATAAAGGAACATTGATAATCGAACCCGGAGTAATTGCTGGATTTCAGATTTTTTACAATACGTATTTAAAGACTTCCAGCAAGCGTGCGTGAGCGTGTTAGATAGGAGTGAATGGAGACGAATGGTACTTGGGACCTGACAATCTGTTGGAGTGTGAGCAGGGTAATATTTAGTGAAGGGATTCAGGGAAACCGGTTATTTTCGTATAGTCGGACTTGAGTCCTGGAAGTGGGAAGTACAATGCCTGCACTCTAAAGGAGGGGTTTGGGATATTGGCAGTTTGGAGGGATATGTTGTGTATCTTTATATGTGTATGCTTCTAAACTGTTGTATTCTGAGCACCTCTGCAAAAACAGTGATAATGTGTGAGTGTGGTGAAAGTGTTGAATGATGATGAAAGTATTTTCTTTTTGTGGATTTTCTTTCTTTTTTGGGTCACCCAGCCTCGGTGGGAGACGGCCGACTTGTTGAAAAAAAAAAAAAAAATTTAAAACTAAGTGTATAGAGGACTAGAATGCTTGACAAACTTTGCATAACTTTACTGTCATATATATGTATTATCTGTATCCAGGATATTATTTATTAATGGGATACTAAACTGACCAGTAGATGAATAAGACAGTTTCCAATGCTGAGAATAATACTGGAGATGGTGGACATGAAGTAGTAATTTAAGGTGATCAGTCCCCAGCTTTGAAAGGTGTTCAGTCCAACAGGCTTGATGACTCAGCCATCTCTGTCGAGTATAATTTTGCGTATTCTCTATCATAATTTTGTGTAAAAGTTGCATATGGAGGTCCATTTGCAGACTTAATGTTTCCTCCTTCCTCAACAGAAATCATCCATTTTTGCATTGCTGTACTCCAGAAATAATACTGTACTAATGTTTGTGTCTGAAATATTGTACTGTATCCCAAACTCATAATTGAAGTATAATTGTCTGTTTTATGATGCATCATTTGAAATGAATTTAGTGTATTTGGGGTGAATCATTTGCCATTGCCTGGAATATTTTCAAATTTTTTTCCAAGGCATGACACAAATCTTTTCTCTCCAAACTCTAGTATTCCTCTATTACTGTACCAGATCATATCCAGTTTTCTCTTGTTAGATTTATCTGTCTTTGCTGTAGGCAGACACACTTTGCTTTATGTACTGATACCAGTTTGCTTTTTTGTCAAGTGATCTTCCCTCAACACCTGTGCCTTTCTCCCCTCGCTTCCCAATCTCTCTCCCTTCAGCTGTGCAGCGATGTATGATCCTTATGGGTTTCCCCTCTTTCCTTGAATATAATATTGTAGTCTGGTAGATCCTTATCTGGTGGTGTTGAAGAATCGAGTACTTCCACCTTTTCCTGGTGGCCTTGTACTAGATGATGGGTTTGATTATCTTAGTTGAAATTGAATGTCTAAACATTTTTGTGAGAGCAAGTTTTCTTCATATTCCTCAGGCATTATGTATTTTGTAAACATTGAGTATTAGGCCCTGGTAGCAGTTTTAATTAGATTTGAAATCTGTAATGGAGTTGTTATTTTTGACATTCTAACAGTGCTTATAATCCTAAGTTACTGTGCTTTACATTTTACATGTCCATGCATTCTGCTCAGATAATACACTGTATGTATATAAAATTCTAAATGGACAAAATAAACCTTAAACTCTGTTTAAGAATTTGTTTAGCCCCCAAATGTTGAAAGCAGTTGTGTTGTTAACGACACAATTCTTGAAGTGTGAACTAGATTTTGATGTTCATCTAGGAGTTTGGTCTGCAGTACTCCCATGGAAGAGATTTTACTCCTCAACATCTTGCTGAATCCATAATTACACCAAATAAATTTTGTAAGTGTAGGAGTTTGCTGCATCTTCACAATGTTTTATATATGCAGTCCTCAGATGTACTGATATGGAAGGAATTTTATGCCTTTTAGCTCTTGCATGAACTGAGTTTTATAGTATCTAGGATTTGCACATAAGCTATTTCCATTTAATTAATTCTGCCTCAGTGGAAGACAGCCAGTGTGTTAATAAAAAAATCTAATGTAAATTTTAAACCACTAGATTTCTCGTATACAGTGGACCCCCGGTTCGTGAAGACATCGGTATCCGATAAATCCGGTATCCGAAGTATTATATCGCAAAAAATTTGCCTCGGTTCCCGTTACAAAACCTGGTATGCAATACGATTCGTACGAGACGTGTCCAGTGTTTACAAGCCAGCCAGTGTGCGCGCATCTAAGGATACATTCGGTACATTCTATATTATCCATATTATCACAGTTTTTGGTGCTTTTTTCTGCAAAATAAGTCACCATGGGCCCCAAGAAAGCTTCTAGTGCCAACCCATCGAGACCAAAGGTGCTAATGACTATTGAAATTAAGGAAATGTGTGCAAAGTGGCTTGAAGTGCAAACCTTTTTTGATGAAAATCACCCTGACACAGCTACTGCAAGCTGTGTTGGCAACCTGTACACTGACAATGTTGTGAACCACTTTAGGAAAGCCATAAAAGAACAAGAGGTACAGGCCTCTATGGACAGATATGTTGTGCGACAGAAGTCCAGTGACGCAAGCTGGTCCTAGTGGCATTAAAAGAAGAAGGGAAGTAACCCCGGAAAAGGACTTGCTACCTCAAGTCCTAATGGAGGGGGATTCCCCTTCTAAACATTAAAAACTTCGACACTCTCCCCTCCTCCCATCCCATCAATCATCACCAGATCTTCATTAAAGGTAAGTGTCAATTATTCTATTGTGATTATTCTATTGTTATTGTAATTATTATATTACATTAAACTTAATATATCATGTGGTAAAAGTTTTTTTTTTTTCATACTTTTGGGTGTCTTGCACGGATTAATTTGATTTCCATTATTTCTTATGGGGAAAATTGATTCGCTTTCCGATAATTTTGGTTTACGATGAGCTCTCAGGAACGGATTAATATCGCGAACCGGGGGTCCACTGTATTCATATGGAATAAAAATGATAGTGTGAGGTCACAGATATATCCCAGGTATACCTGCATGGATTAACATTAACACTGCAAGGCCTCCGATGTACAGTGAAAGTTTGATTTAGCAGACTATTAGGGGCAAGAGGGTATCCTGTAATGTTGGTTGTGCATTAAACCTGAATAATTGATTACCTTGTTTTACCATGATTACAACAATAATGGGCAATTCTGGAAGTAACTGATTTTATCCATTTCCAGATTTTGTTCAGACAAATTTTGCCCATTAAATTGAGCTTTCACTGTACCAACATGGAATGAAATTTGCATTGAGTGATCTCTGATGCACCAACATAGAATAAGGATGACTGAGAGATCTAACATATACAACCATGGAATGAAATTGGGTATAAAATGAATAACATTTTATTGATTTATATATGTAATGGTACAGAAATATACTTTTGTTTTTATTTCCAAAATGTGAAATTTTCAATTATATATTATGTATATTCCACAAAAGTAATACCATTTTTATTTAATGTTAAAAATAATTTGTATTGTTTGTATGTCTATCATCTAGGAATACAGTAGAACCCCCTCATATCCATTGATTCAGTTATCCACAGTTTACTGTGGCCCAAAAATATCTCTTAATTTTGTAAATTAATGGCCCCAAAATGCAAAAGTAGAGAAGCTGACAGTTCTTCAAAGCCTAAGAGAAGCCGTAAAGTGCTTTCCATCAATGAAAAAGTGATAATTCTCTACTTATTATGCATAATTTATCAATTAAATTTTATAATTGGTATATATAGGACTTGTATATAGTGTTTGCTTGGAATGTATTTCCCATGGATACGGGGGTCCTACTGTACAGTATATTTTTTCAGTTATTGCATAACTGTCTTTTACTATATAAAATTGACCATATATAAGTAAATACAAGTAGTAGACAGTTTGATATATAATTTGTAGTAATACACAACTGTGTCATACTGTACTAATACATACTTTTGTAATAAATGCAAAAAAAATTACATCGTATATTTTTTTTTTCAACACGTTGGCTGTCTCCCACCAAGGCAGGATGACCCAAAAAAGAAACACTTTCACCATCATTTACACATAATCACTGTTTTTACAGAGGTGCCCAGGTGTGCCAGTTAAGATGTCACTCCAAATGGCTAATATCCCAAACCCCTTCTTTAAAGTGCAGGCATAGTAATTCCCACCTCCAGGACTAAGTTTGGCTAACCAAATTATATATGAGGCCTAAAGATGAGTTCGCTTTGTGCAAAAATGAATGAAAGGGTATACAGATCAATTTGTAAACAAGTTACATTTCTGGTTGTTCACCTTTAAAATGAGTTCTTTGTATAGAAAATAATAGTGCAAGAGATTGTTGTTTCACACATTTGTACTCCCACTGAGGTAAGGTGACCCAAAAAACAATGCAACACATTCACTGTCATTCATTCACTACCTGTCTTTTCAGACGTATAGACATTATAATTCAAATGGTTGTCCGAAGTGCTACATCCCACAGTGCAGGCACTGTACGTACTTCCCACCTCAAGACCTCGAGTCATGCTTACCAGTCGTGACTTCAGTCATGGCTTAAGACTTAAATTGAGACTTAAACTGGTCTTTTAGAATATAAGGAGAGGAAAAAGGGACCACTATCAGCCCTATTCTAACCGCTTCCATTAGTAGTGCTGCAGTGTTTGTGTCACTTCCTACCCATGGTAAATAGATAATCTTAGGGCATGTCAGGTGACCCTCTGGTGAGACATCAGGTGGCCATGTGGCAGGGCCATTGATGATAGAAGTTCTACACAGGTTGCCTGTGGATCCTGGAGTGAAAATTGAAGGCGTATGACTCGTAGCATTTTCTGTTTGTCACCCACTATTTTTAGCTGAAAGACAATCTCACAATTAGTTCTGTCTAATCAGGCAGTTTTGCTAAGGCTGGCTTTCATTTCCTGGTGCTCTGCATGAGGTAAGATCAGATTTGTTGGGAATTTTAACTCTAAGGGTAAGCCACCAAGGATAACCCAAGAAAGCCAATGCACCATCAAGGACTGTCTGCCTAATTTCCCCCAGGATGCAAACCACACCAGTCAACTAATGCCCAGGTACCTACTTCCTGGTAGGTGAGCAGGGACAGCAGGTATTGGAGCATTGGAAATGTGCTCCAGTTCCCTAAACAACCTGAATACCTTCCATCTCCCCCTCACAGGCGCTGTATAAGTCCTACTGGTTTTGCGCTCCACCATGATTATAATATATAATAAACCCCATGAGTGAGCTCTTGATCTAAGTGTTGTATGACCCTAGTGGGTTTAGTGCTTGGTTTTGATAATCTTGATCTAAGGAAGGGAATTTATCCTCCCCTACTTCGGACAGAACCATTACCTTACAATCTCCAGCAGCACTATATGGCCCTAGTAGGTTTAGCGCTTTTCGATTATAATCAAATTTCCGTGCAGTGTGACCCCTAAAAGTTTAGTTAGCACTTCCCCTGATTATAATATAAATAAACATATTTGTTAGCCATGAATTTCTCCATCAATATACATAGCCAGTCAACGTCTGCCAGTGAGGGAACTTCAACTCGCTTCTCAACAATGCTGCAACTGGTGGCACTCGACCATCAAGCAAAATATTGTAGTACAGATCCAATGTTGTATGAACCTTGTGGTTTTAGTGTTTAGTTATGATTATAATAATTTAGTATAGATCACAGTCAGAATGTCAAATCTGGGGGTATTTGGATCATAACCCAACTTGTGAATGCCCCCTTTCCTGCTTTAATTGCAAAGAAACAAAATCCTTATAGTCCTGGTGGTGCCTCATTTTCTACAAAAGCTCTCACTTCACACCCTGAGGGCCCAGGTTTAAAGCTGAAGCATTGGGCATGTTTCTTACACCGGTTGTCGATGTTCACCCATCAGTAAAATGGGTACCTGGGTGTTAGTCAACTTGTGTGGGCTGCGTCCTGGGACAAAATTGACCTAATTTGCTCGAAATGCTCTGCATAATAAGCGACTTTCTATATAGTAGTATGTTATTGATGGCAGCTATGGTCTGTATACCTTGTACATGTACTTGTAGAAATAGACATATTGCAAAAGCAAAATCTAGTGTTTAAACGAGAAAGAGGTTGTCATACAATCTGGCCATAACCTAACCCAGTGCAAGGGAGAATATCACACACCACTCCAGAGTCACCTGACACTCCCAACGCCCTGTACATTGCTGTGTCCAACCCTCTTGTTCTCAAAACTGACGTTTCCACCTCTTCGCCATCTGTCCTCTGCAGTGGAGATTCTTCAGGGTAAGTTTTGCTGAAGGTTAACGCCCCTTAGTTTTGTTCAATGGTACTGGAAGTCTGTGTGTGTTCAGATTCTAAACACCATTTTCTTCTATTTTCCCTCTGATAATTATATTAACTTTTATCCAGTTCATTAGATGTCCCTATTTGCCTAGGTACCTAAATGCAGGTGAGAGAGATACATGATAATATAGTATACACTTTGAAGATCCTGGAGGGACTGGTACCATATCTGCATACGAAAATCACTCCCTATGAAAGCAAAAGACTCGGCAGGAGATGTAACATTCCCCCGATGAAAAGCAGGGGCGCCACGAGTACAGTGAGAGAACACAGTTAAGTGTCCAGGGCCCAAGACTGTTCATCTGCCTCCCAGCATACATAATGGAGATTACCAATAGACACCTGGCTGTCTTCAAGAAGGCACTGGACAAGCACTTATAGTCAGTACCTGACCAACTGGGCTGTGGTTCATACGTCAGTTTGCATGCAGCCAGCAGTAACAGCCTGGTTGATCAGACCCTGATCCACCATGAGGCCTGGTCTCAGACTGAGCTGCTGGGGCGTTGACCCCTGAAACCCTCTCCAGGTAAACTTCATAAATATCATTTTTGGGAAATATTACTTTGGGTTCACTGAACCTCTATTATTATTATTATTATTATTATTATTATTATTATTATTATTATTATTATTATTATTATTAAAACACCACCTGCCTACAGTGACCTGGGCAACGCTGTATGACTATTGTTGGTTTAGAGCTTTCTTTGCCTGGTAGGCATCGCTCTTGCCTCACACACTGAGTGTCCGTGGTTCGATTCCCGGCCGGGTGGAAACATTGGGCGTGTTTTCTTACACCTGCTGTCCCTGTTCACCTAGCAAGTAAATAGGTGTCCGGGTGTTAATAGGCTGGTGTGTGTCGCATCCTGGGGGACAAGATTGAAGGACCACAATGGATATAAGCGTCCTCGATGACGCATTAACTTTCTTGGGTTATCCAGGGTGGCTAACTCTCAAAATCCAATCAAAATCTTAACTAGGTTCTCTACACATGCTATGTATGATAATCTATGTAACTATATTTGTGTATACCTGAATAAACTTACTAAACTTTCTCAGATGGACTATTGTCACATACACCCTGCGTCATTATGTGCTAGAATGCGATAAAATAATGAATTCAGAGACCCCAGTGGAAATAAGTCACTCTGTCTGACTTTTTTGGGTTATCCTAGGTTCTCTACACATATGCTGCTATGTATGATAATTCTATGTAACTGTATTTGTGTATACCTGAATAAACTTACTTACTTACTAACTGCGAAATATTAAAAAAATGTCGAAGTATTTTATCCACAGTAACACATTATCAAACAACTTTACCTATTAAACTTATTTATTCTCTACACATATACTGCTATGTATGATAATCTATGTAACTGTATTTGTGTATACCTGAATAACGTTACTTAAATTTAACCGTAAATAAGTTTATTTAGGTACAGGTACGCACAGGTACAGTTATCATACATAGTTTAATGTATGTGTAAATTACATAGGTCAACCCCCAAAAGTATGACAAGTGTGACTTATCACCATTGGGTCCTTGCTAAATTATACGGTATTATAATAATTCAAACCCCCATACAAAGCACAAAATTTTTGTGATTGAATTCATGTCTGCATAATTAACGCATTATTTTTGTAACCATGTTTATTTTACTACGGTAACTTGCTTAGTTATTAAAACTTTGGGACCCAGTCCCTGGACCCATTGTGTCACTAATCTTGTGGCTACTGTCCAAATGATAGGTATGGGGTGTATAATATATATTAAACTAACTAACACTTCCATTTAACGTGGAATACATTAGAAAGAAGGAATATTACAGAATATCATACTAGTATCTTTACATCAAATAATTGGGATAAATCTAAACAGACTGACAAAAACCCCAGTGGAAATACACTTTGTCTGACTTTTTTGGGTTGTCCTAGGTAATTTACACTTATGTCACTATGTATGATAATTGCACTTATATGTACCTGTACCTAAATAAACTTATTCACATAATCTACCATCAAATAATTGGGATAAAACTGAACAGACGGACAATTACAATAGTCTACCCAAACAATGGCACTCAAAGAAAATTAATACATTGCTTCAGAATCACAAGTGATATTTTGTCGCCTCAAAATACTAGCGACCTTCTAAGTGGTGAAATTTTTGAAGGAAGAAATCTTACTAAATCTCTAAGCAAATTACACACGTATCTGGAAGAAGAAAAAGAAGAAATCTCACAGAAGCAACATAAAAGTGACAACACATTAACAAGGGCAGCTGTGGAAAGGAGAATAAACCTCAAAAAATAACTGCTTGTGTACTTAAGTGGGTGTTATACCTCCAGTGAAGTATAGTGCCACCCATATTACATCTACACCCTGTATAGGCCTACATCTACACTCTGTATAGGCCGACATCTACGCCTTCAATAGGCCAGAAGGAAAAGAAAGTTTGGCTCTGGAATACTTCATATTTTCAAGGTTCCACTCGTCATCTTTTGCCAGAATGCGTTTGTATGTGTTCCTGAGCATGATGTAACTCTTGGATCCTGTCATCCTCGGTGGCTCCTGTCATCCTTGGTGGCTCCTGTCATCCTCAGCAGCTCCTGTCATCCTTGGTGGCTCCTGTCATCCTCGGCGGCTCCTGTCATCCTTGGTGGCTCCTGTCACCCTTGGAGGCTCCTGTCATCCTCGGTGGCTCCTGTCATCCTTGGCGGCTCCTGTCATCCTCGGCGGCTCTTGCCACCCTTGGCGGCTCCTGTCATCCTCGGCGGCTCCTGTCATCCTCGGCAGCTCCTGTCACCCTCGGCGGCTCCTTTCATCCTCGGCGGCTCCTGTCATCCTTGGCGGCTTCTGTCACCCTCGGAGGCTCTTGTCACCCTTGGAGGCTCCTGTCATCCTTGGCGGCTCCTGTCATCCTTGGCGGCTCCTGTCACCCTCGGAGGCTCCTGTCATCCTCAGAGGCTCCTGCCATCCTCGGTGGCTCCTGTCATCCTCGGCGGCTCCTGTCATCCTTGGTGGCTCCTGTCACCCTCGGAGGCTCCTGTCATCCTCGGTGGCTCCTGTCATCCTTGGCAGCTCCTGTCACCCTCGGAGGCTCTTGTCCTCGACGGATCCTGTCGTCCTCGGCGACTCCTGTCCATTTCTTAAATATTTATTTTATCTCTGCACTGAATTTCACTCTGGCAGCACAGGTAAAATTCATTACCTATAAATAGGCATTAAATTTGACAATTTTTTATAACCTATTTCATTGTACATTCCAGTATTTGGAATGTCAGATATTTTTAACTATGTTGAACAGAGTAATAAAAAAGTAGCATATTATAATGTAGTGTACAGTATTTTTTTTTTAGAGTGCTATATGATGCTTGTGGGTTTAGCACTCTCTCATTAATGTAATTATAATGATAGTGCTTTGAAATCATATATTTTTTTTTAATTTCAAATTGCCTTTCAGATCAGGATTGTGCTAAAGTATCAGTACTGGTGGTAAGCAGCTAATTTTGATTGTACGTATTGGCTTAAACCAGATTGTCGGATCAATATTGATTGGTATCGGCCAATTTTGTTGGCATCGGTACCAGTATTGGTAAGTATGTGTTAATTTTTGTGGTATAGTCATCAGCCTAAGATTAAGTATTGATATGCTAAGTACCAGCAAAAATTTTAATATTGCTCCATTTCTATTTCAAATTATTTTTTTTTCATGTCCCTCAGAAATCATTATTATAAAAATAGTCAATATATATATAAAAATAACATTGTTATATATGCATATATGCAGCTTCACTGTTCACTTCTACATATACTTGTGCAAGTCCAATCATACCAAAGAATTTTCAGCATAGTGTATTTATAAACATAATGTTATGTTATTCAGTGTCAGTTTAGGTTATTATGTCGCCAAATTTTGTTCAGTAGATCTTATAATTTGTATACAAGAGTAACCATTTTGGTGCTTTGTTTGTTGAAGACAGTGCATGTAAAAAAAATTTAATGAATGCGAAGAAAAAGTTAATGCTTAAAAGATATTGCATTGTTTAACAACTGAAAAATACTCTTCTGCATTATGTTCTAGCACTCTGCTAATTTATCTTATCATGAGTACTCTTAGTGTTATGCATTCTTCAGAAAAGACTATATTAGAGAGAAGTACGAAAGTTTATGCAGTTGATAAATCATATAAGTGTTCAAGATGTCTAAAAGAATTTAAATATAAATATGATTTAGTAGCACATATGAAGGCTCATTCGGCAGAGAAATCTAATCAGTGTTCAAAGTTAATTGCAGACTTTTCACAGAAATATAATTTAGCAACACATAAGAAAACTCATACAAAAGAGAAGTCATATCAGTGTATTGAGTGCCCAAAAGTCTTTCCATATAAATCTCATTTGACTTTACATATGAGAGTTCATACAGGAGAGAAACCATACCACTGTTCAGTGTGTCTAAAAGCCTTTTCTCACAAATTTAATTTAGCAACGCACATGAAAATTCACACTGGAGAACGATCATGCCAGTGTTTAGTGTGTCTGGAAGAATTTACGACAAAGTCTCATCTTGCATTACATACAAGAAAAGTTCATACTGGAGAAAAACCATATCAGTGTTTAGAATGTTCAAAAAGCTTTTTAATTAAACCTTCTTTAGTAAGACATATGAAAACTCATATGGGAGACAAACCTTATCAGTGCTCAGAGTGCATGAAAGCCTTTAGGCAAAAAAATCACTTAGAAATGCACATGAGAATTCATACAGGAGAAAAACCATTTAAATGTGCAGAGTGTATAAAATGCTTTAAACAAAAATCTGAATTAGTGGCACACACTAGAGTACATACTGGGGAGAAGCCTTATGTTTGTACTGAGTGTCTGAAAGGCTTCAAATTTAAACCGTCCCTTGGAAAACACATGAAAACTCATGCAGGGATAAAACCGTATCAGTGTTCAGAGTGTATGAGAGCATTTTTGCAAAAATCTCATTTAGAAACACACATGAGAATTCATACTGGAGAAAAACCATATCAGTGTTTAGTGTGTGTGAAAAACTTTAAAAGAAAATCTGAGCTTGCAGTACATAGCAGAGTTCATACGGGAGAAAAGCCATATCAGTGCCCTGTTTGCCTGAAAGACTTCAAATTTAAGCATTCTCTTGCAACGCATATGAGAATTCATACTGGTGAGAAACCTTTCCAGTGTCGTGAGTGTCTGAAAAACTTTAAACAGAAATCTCATCTTGTGCAACATATGAGCAAAATTCATAGAGTGGATATTATATCAGTTTTCAGTGTTTGACTGACTTTTCAGTTTAATTTTTTTAATCATTATTTTTTTTTATTAACACATCATCCGTCTCCCACCAAAGCAGGGTGGCCCGAAAAAGAAAAACTTTCATCATTCACTCCATCACTGTCTTGCCAGAGGCACGCTTACACTACAGTTATAAAACTGCAACATTAACACCCCTCCTTCAGAGTGCAGACACTATACTTCCCATCTCCAGGACTCAAGTCCAACCTGCCGGATTCCCTGAATCCCTTGATAAATGTTACTTTGCTCACACTCCAACAGCATGTCAAGTCCTAGAAACCATTTGTCTCCATTCGCTCCTATCTAACATGCTCACGCATGCTTGCTGGAAGTCCAAGCCCCTTGCACACAAAACCTCCTTTACCCCCTCCCTCCAAGCTTTCCCAGGCCGACCCCTACCCTGCCTTCCCTCCACTACAGATTTATACACTCTCGAAGTCATTCTATTTCCTTCCAACCTCTCTACATGTCCGAATCACCTCAACAACCCCTCCTCAGCCCCCTGGATAATAGTTTTGGTAATCCCACACCTCCTCCTAATTTCCAAACTATGAATTCTCTGCATTACATTCACACCACACATTGCTCTCAGACGTGACATCTCCACTGCCTCCAGCCTTTCCTTGTTGCAACATTCACCACCCATGTTTCACACCCATATAAGAGCGCTGGTATAACTATACTCTCATACATTCCCCTCTTTGCTTCCATGGACAAAGTTCTTTGTCTCCACAGACTCCTAAGTGCACCACTTGCCTTTTTCGCCTCATCAGTTCTATGATTCACCTCATCTTTCGGTGACCCATCTGCTGACATGCCCACTCCTAAATATCTGAATATGTTCACCTCTATACTCTCTCCCTCCAGTCTGATGTCCAATCTTTCGTCACCTAATTTTTTTGTTATCCCCATCACCTTACTCTTTCCTATATTCACTTTTCATTTTCTTCTTTTACATACCCTTCCAAACTCATCCACCAATCTCTGCAACTTCTCTTCATAATCTCCCAAAAGCACAGTGTCATCAGCAAAGAGCAACTGTGACAACTCCCACTTTGTGTTAGATTCTTTATCTTTTAACCCCAAACCTCTTGTGAACACCTGAACATTCACTTCTCTTACAACTCCATCTATAAATATATTGAACAACCATGGTGACATCACACATCCTTGTCTAAGGCCGGCTTTTACTGGGAAATAATCTCCCTCTCTCCTACATACTCTGGCCTGAGCCTCACTATTCTCAGGTTAGGTTCTGGGCTACTGCTGTAAAGTGATCTTATCCCTTTTTTCACTTTCATACGCATATAAAAGCCTGATAACATGTTTACACTAAGTGAGCAATAGAGCTAGGCCTATAAAGTGCATATACGGTATGCACATTACATACCTTAGAATATTTTCATACTTAGCTTGTAGTGAGCGATGAATATATTTATTGTAGGAAGTTTGAGTAATTGAAGAATGAGTGTAACTGAGAAAATACTGTATGAGCGAAACGCTGTAAAGCGAAGCACTGTAAAGCGAAGCACTGTAAAGCGAAGCACTGTAAAGCGAAGCACTGTAAAGCGGGGCCAGCCTGAGCTGTATTTGATGATTTTCTCATTGAAATTACATTATGCAAGTCATAGGAAATATTTTCTTACAGAAGAGGAACTTACTAATGCTTACAGTGTCTTACAACTTTTTTTAAAATGAGTTATTCAGAGTTTCACTTAAGTCCATGTAGTAATTTTTCTGTGCTTGGGTTCCATGAATCATGTTAGGTAGTAACACACTGGCTGTCTCCCACCAAGGTAGGATGACCTGAAAAAGAAACACTTTCACCATCATTCACACTATCACTGTCGTGACAGAGACGTACAGATACGATGCATTATCTGTCAAAGTTACAAGCTTAAATAAAAGAACTGAATGAAGCAAGAATATGAATGGATTAAAAATGAATTTAGCCTAAAATAGTATTTTAAGTTAACAAAGTAAGGAACCCAGAACATTTTAAATTTAAAAGGTGAATAATTTTCAAAAGTAACATGCCTTTTTGTTTAAAAAAAAAGGTGTCATTAGATTATTCCCATTTTGTGTTTAGGTTGAGGCAATATGTAAATGCTAATACCCTCAAGGGAGGTGCCTTGATGCTAGCAAGGAATTTATATTCAGGGTATTTAGGCTATTTTCACTGTGATACTGAACATTCCGTGATTGATCATCTTTGTAGTTACTGTAAAAGTTTTCAGATGATCGATGACCACTGCTTAGAAACCTTCCCACATATGACATAGGCCTGGAAACACAAGGATTCTTTTGCAATTAGACTGGTGGGGATAACCAGGTTTGATCTGAGGAAGGGTAGGGTAGCTCCAGTTCTTTGAATTGTCATAATATGATACCTATATTGGCTAATTTTTCTTAGAGATGTGACAGTGAATGAGTAAATATTTTTGAGATGTGTACTATATTTCATGGCTTATTAGACACATTTCCCCCCCCCTCCCCCCATGAAATGTCTCCAAAAACCACCATGCGTCCTATAAACTGAAGGTCAGTGACGGGAGCTATAAATTTGAGGTGTGGGGTGGGCTGTAGCTCCCCCAGTTGCATCCAATGCTGAGCCATTGAAACTAAATCAAGTCTTATAAGCCGTGAAATATGGTATGTTTGAATATTCAACATGTCTGTTTCATTCAATCGGCAGAGTTATACAAGACAAACGACATTGGTTATGTAATTATTATAATTTGTAAATAATTCATATGATTTCCTCACTTCTTTAGTGCTATTCTCGTGGTTTTAAATTATTTTTGACAAATTACTCTAATAAAATATAATGTAGGATGGTTTAGAAAGCAAATGATAATAGTTATATTTATATGATGTGCCTTGTAGGTCAGTTTTACCATCTTGGCAAGTTAGACAAATACTGTTTTGCAAAACAAAGTAAGTTTGTATTTATTTTTACTACAAAAGTTTGTCTGAACATCTCCAAATTCATACACATTTCATTGAGGTTAGATATTTGACCTTCAGATAACTGCCATTCAGAATACAGTGTGCATTTTGCTCCAAATTATCATGAGCTAACAAAGGTCATAGGTTGATAAGGATTGCAGTAGTTAAAAAAAATTCCACATTCAGAGTTACATTCTAGTGATTATTTTTCTTCAGAGGAAAGGGGAAAATAAGATAGTCGTTGTCTTATGATCTATCCAACTTACGACCATCTGCACTTATAACCATGAATATTTGTATGCCTGGCAGCATAAATGAGGCTGTATGATAGCGATTCTGTATTTTATTTCAATTTTGATTTTATATTTTAATTGTAATTTTAAGCCAGTTGTAATGTACACATGTTTAAATTAAACCATTCCTAAGATAAAAAAAGTTTAAAGAAACAAGTTGATATAAAGATTATGAAATTTATAATTACAATATTTGTCCGACTTTTGTCCAGTTCAACTTACTACTGGCTGGTCAGAACCTAACCTGGTCGTAAGTCAACGACTATGTGTAGATCCATGAGAAGTAACCTGATTAACCATAAGCTCCCTGAACTAACAAGGGGTGCTTGTGGATAACCTCATTAAGGAATGGACTAGGCATTTTGGTAAGGTTCAAGTGAATTGTAATTTGGAAAGACAGTGGGTGCAGAGCAAATATTTATTATAGATTACATTTTGCTCTGCGTTGAGCTTTGTCAAATCTGTGACTTGATAAAACTTTGCCCAGAGCAACCAAACATAACCAGGTTAAAATTTACATACTATACAACTTATTGCTGTATAGCCCTTGTGGTTTAGCGCTTCTTTTTTATTATAATAATAATAATAATAATATACAACTTATTAATTTGTCTGTTTTCCTTGGGATGCGCATTCTTCAGTGAGCCCCAGTATTTAGGGGAAGATTTGCCTGGTTTGAGTGACACTGCAGTAACAGCCTGGTTGATCAGGCTCTGATCCACCAGGAGGCCTGGTCACAGACCGGACCGCGGGGGCGTTGACCCCCCGGAACTCTCTCCAGGTAAACTCCAGGCATCAAAATGTATGATTAATATAGGAGGGCCCTGCTTATTCAGTACACTCTTTTTGGTGTTCCACATTTTCATTGGCTGCCCAAAACGCCTCGGCATGATAGTGGCTTTCTTTGCTTCAGTCATATTATGATATGTAAACACACAAAGAAATAAATTTGTATTATTTATTTATTATTATTCAGTTGAGCCATTGTTCATTATGTTTGGTGCTTTTACAATTTTTCTGTCATTTTTTCACATCATTTGCATAAGGGAAGGGCAGTTGGCACCATATTTAAAGGTAAGCATTGTATGTACTATGTACATGTATTTGTGTAAACTCATTATCAGGCATTTTAGATGCATTCAATAATGAAAAAACTTTTTCACCCGCTGGTGATTTTCGCTTACCACACGGGGTCGGGAACCTAAGAGCCGTACAAACGGGGCCCTGCTCTATGTGTAGTCTGTAATGAAGATAGACTCTGCACCATGTCGTCTTTGTATACATGAACCACAAAGCGGTTGGGGATTGAACCCATGGAGGCGAGTCCTATTATTATTATAATCGAAAGAAATGCTAAACCCACGAGGGTCATAGAGCACAGCAGTGAGTTTTAGGAATCTCTTGCCATGGGTTCAGTGCCTACCTGTTCCTTCATTTATTTTCTTTTGTGTTATTACAAATAGTATACATGTTGGCAATGACCTCCATCCTCCTCACATGAAATGTACTGTAATTAACAAGCATATTTTAAGCTATACCTTATAGGGGCCATTCAGACACAGTCTTTGTGGCAGATTGCATAATTGGGTTTTTTATTTTATGGGGGTTAACCTGCAATTGCTTGCTATACCAAGGCTGGGAGATTGCAGCTTTTTGTAAACAAAACTGATGTATGTAAGTAGTTGTTCTCTGTTTGTCTGTAAAAATTAGTCAGGAATTAAAATGTATAAGCTTTATTCGTATACAATATGGATATAATTATCGAAGTAATTTGTATTAAATCAAAGCAGCTTTTATTTGTTTTTTGATTATGGTATAACTTTTATTGATTTTATGTGAAAAATGGAATGTAGATTGATTATATTAATGGTATTAATATCCTCTCAAGGGAGATTTTTTTTTTTATTTTTGGATCCAAGGAAGTGGATCTGGCCTCCACCTCTTTGGATCATAAGAACATAAGAAAGGAGGAACACTGCAGGAGGCCTGTTGGCCCATACTAGGCAGGTCCTTTACAATTCATCCCACTAACAAAACATTTGCCCAACCCAATTTGCAATGCTACCCAAGAAATAAGCTCTGATGTGAAAGTCCCACTCAAATCCAACCCCTCCCACTCATGTACTTATCCAACCTAAATTTGAAACTATCCAAAGTCCTAGCCTCAATAACCCAACTAGGTAGACTGTTCCACTCATCAACTACCCTATTTCCAAACCAATACTTTCCTATGTCCTTTCTAAATCTAAACTTATCTAATTTAAATCCATTACTGCGGGTTCTCTCCTGGAGAGATATCCTCAAGACCTTATTAATATCCCCTTTATTAATACTTATCTTCCACTTATACACTTCGATCAGGTCTCCCCTCATTCTTCGTCTAACAAGTGAATGTAACTTAAGAGTCTTCAATCTTTCTTCATAAGGAAGATTTCTAATGCTATGTATTAATTTAGTCATCCTGCGCTGAATGTTTTCTAACGAATTTATGTCCATTCTGTAATATGGAGACCAGAACTGAGCTGCATAATCTAGGTGAGGCCTTATTAATGATGTATAAAGCTGCAGTATGACCTCTGGACTTCTGTTGCTTTCACTTCTTGATATAAATCCCAGTAATCTATTTGCCTTATTACGTACGCTTAGGCATTGCTGTCTTGGTTTAAGGTTGCTGCTCACCATAACCCCCAAGTCCTTTTCGCAATCTGTATGGGTAAGTTCTACATCATTTAACTTATAAGTACTAGGGTTATGGGCACTCCCGAGCTTCAGGACCTTGCATTTATCTACATTGAACTGCATCTGCCACTTTTCTGACCAAGAATAGAGTTTGTTTAAATCCTCCTGAAGTTCCATAACATCTACGTTTGAATCAATTATCCTGCCTATCTTTGTGTCATCGGCGAATTTGCTCATATCACTAGTAATTCCCTCATCAAGATCATTGATATATATTATAAACAACAACGGGCCCAAGACTGATCCCTGTGGAACGCCACTTGTTACAGATCCCCACTCGGATTTAACCCCATTTATGGACACTCTGCTTCCTGTCTGTGAGCCATGACTCGATCCATGAGAGCACTTTTCCCCCAATGCCATGAGCTGCCACTTTCTTTAAGAACATAAGAAAGGAGGAACACTGCAGCAGGCCTGTTGGCCCATACTAGGCAGGTCCTTTACAATTCATCCCACTAGCAAAACATTTGCCCAACCCAATTTTCAATGCTACCCAAGAAATAAGCTCTTATGTGCAAGTCCCACTCAAATCCAACCCATCCCACTCATGTACTTATCCAACCTAAACTTGAAGCTACCCAAAGTCTTAGCCTCAATAACCCAACTAGGTAGTCTGTTCCGCTCATCAACCTTACTAAAATCTAAGTAAATAATATCAAATATTCTTTATCGTGGTCAACAGCCTCAAAAGCTTTACTGAAGAAAGTTAATAAATTAGTTAGACAAGACCGGCCTCTTGTGAATCCATGCTGATAAATTAGACACATGTGCAACTCTTGGGTATCTTTATTGAGGAAACGTTTCACCACACAATGGCTTCATCAGTCCATACAAAGGAGAATCTTGAAGAACAGGAGGAGAATGAGGTAATCAGTCCCTCAACCTTGAGTCGATGTGGTCAGTCCATCAATCTTGAATAGAATACGGCATACGTGCGGAGAAGGAGCTTATAAACCATTTGTAGGAGAGGTGCAGCAGTCATAGGTGGTGTCACATTTGTTCAATGCGGAAGTAGGTCGTGCCCAAGAATTAGGCAAGCGAAGAATTCCCAAGTATTAAGATCCCAAGAAGTTGCAGTGTCTGACAGGTTTGTAGATGAATGGTTCAGAGAACCGACATGTTGATAAATTAGACATGTGCAACTCTTGGGTATCTTTATTGAGGAAACGTTTTGCCACACAGTGGCTTCATCAGTCCATACAAAGGAGAATCTTGAAGAACAGGAGGAGAATGAGGTAATCAGTCCCTCAACCTTGAGTCGATGTGGTCAGTCCATCAATCTTGAATAGAATACGGCATACGTGCGGAGAAGGAGCTTATAAGCCATTTGTAGGAGAGGTGCAGCAGTCATAGGTGGTGTCACATTTGTTCAATGCGGAAATAGGTCGTGCCCAAGAATTAGGCAAGCGAAGAATTCCCAAGTATTAAGTATGACTGCTGCACCTCTCCTACAAACGGTTTATAAGCTCCTTCTCCGCACATATGCCGTATTCTATTCAAGATTGATGGACTGACCACATCGACTCAAGGTTGAGGGACTGATTACCTCATTCTCCTCCTGTTCTTCAAGATTCTCCTTTGTATGGACTGATGAAGCCACTGTGTGGCGAAACGTTTCCTCAATAAAGATACCCAAGAGTTGCACATGTGTCTAATTTATCAACATGTCGGTTCTCTGAACCATTCATCTACAAACCTGTCAGACACTGCAACTTCTTGGGATCTTAATACTTGGGAATTCTTCGCTTGCCTAATTCTTGGGCACGACCTACTTCCGCATTGAACAAATGTGACACCACCTATGACTGCTGCACCTCTCCTACAAATGGTTTATAAGCTCCTTCTCCGCACGTATGCCGTATTCTATTCAAGATTGATGGACTGACCACATCGACTCAAGGTTGAGGGACTGATTACCTCATTCTCCTCCTGTTCAAGATTCTCCTTTGTATGGACTGATGAAGCCACTGTGTGGCAAAACGTTTCCTCAATAAAGATACCCAAGAGTTGCACATGTGTCTAATTTATCAACATGTCGGTTCTCTGAACCATTCATCTACGAATCCATGCTGAGTATCATTAATCAAGCTATGCTTATCGAGATGGCTTCTTATAATCTCAGCTGTAATTGACTCTAGTAATTTGCATACAATTGAGGTCAGGCTTATTGGGCGGTAATTTGACGGTAACGACTTGTCCCCTGTTTTAAAAATAGGAATTACATTAACCATCTTCCACATATCAGACATTACACCTGTTTGAAGAGATAAATTAAGAATATTAGATCTGATTGCCTCCCATATTCCCCAGGCATTGTGTGACCTTGCAGGTTTAGAACTTTCCTCAAAAATGTAAAATATGAATAATTAAAATAATGGCATTGAAACACTATGAATACTTTACACATCTTCCTGTCTAGGCGCAGCATACTTTTGAACACTTTCATCTCTTTGAACACCTCCATTATCGATGAAAAATGATTGAACTTTCAGTATTTTGCCTATCCAAGTTTATTGTGTACTTTACTGTATATGAACATTTAACCTTTTCAGATAAGTGTCTGTGCTCTATAAATAATTACCTAACTAGTTAAGAGTACTTGAACGTAGTGAACATCTCTTGTATTCCTAATAAGTGTCTGATCTCTTTGAACATATCCTCTATCCAGGATAACTAGATGGACATTGGCTTTTAATAGCCAATTAAAGTATCTGAACTCTTTGAACACCTCCCCAATCCTGATGAAGTACGTATCTGTAATATCTGAACTCCACCTGCATCCAGGTTAAACACTTTAAACATCTCCTCAAGTGGGTTGCCTTGATGTTGGTAAGGGCTCTTCATCCAATATAATATCTTTATTTCTACAAGTGCATGTACAAGGTATAAGGCCTAGCTGACAACAATGACATAATACTATATAAAAAGCCGCTTGTTATGCTGAGCATTTCGGGCAAGTTAAGTCAGTTTTGTCCCACGATGCTGCCCATGCCAGTCAACTAACACCCAGGTACATTACATTAATGACCTTGATGAAGGGATTACTAGTGACATGAGTAAGTTTGCTGATGATACAAAGATAGGCCGTATAATTCACTCTGAGGAGGATATCAATGAGCTCCAGGACGATTTGAACAAATTAATGTCTTGGTATGAAAAATGGCAGATGAAGTTTAATGTGGATAAGTGTAAGGTACTTGCCCTTGGTAATGAAAATAACCCTCGAAGCTATAATCTAGGTGAAGTAGAGCTTGATCATACAGAATGTGAAAAAGACTTGGGAGTCATGGGCAGAAATCTAAAGCCAAGACAGCAGTGCCTTAGTGTACACAACAAGGCCAACAGATTACTTGGATTTATCTCAAGAAGTCCAAAAGTTATTTTACAGCTCTATACATAACTAGTGAGGCCTCATTTAGATTATGCTGCTCAGTTTTGGTCCTCTTACTACAGGATGGACATAAAACTCATTAGAGAACATACAGAGAAGAATGACTGAAATGATTTACTGTGAAAAGGGAAACCCCCCGTATGAAGATAGACTTTTAAAACCTTAAATCTCCACACTCTGGAGAGGCGTAGAATGAGGGGAGATATCATTGAAGTGTATAAGTGGATGACGGGCATAAACAAGGGAGACATTAATAAAGTACTGAGGGTGTCGAACCAGGTAAGAACCAGGAATAATGGATTTAAGTTGGATAAATTTAGATTTAGAAAGGACATAGGTAAGTACTGGTTTTCTAACAGAGTTGTAGATGCGTGGAACAGTCTTCCCAGTGGGGTGATAGAGGCTAGGACCTTGGGTAGCTTTAAGAAGAGACTGGACAAATATATGAGTGGGAGGGGCTGGGTTTGATTGGTGTCATGGGGTACGGGAGTTATTTCTTGGGTAGCTTTAGGTAGATGTCGTTTTGATAAGGACCTGCCTCGTATGGGCCAGTAGGCCTTCTGCAGTGTTCCTACATTCTTATGTTCTTATCCATTGTATACTGATGGGTGAACAGGGACAACAGGTGTCTTATGGAAACACATCCCAAATGTTTTCCAGTCATACCGGAGATTCGAACTCTGGACCTCAGTGTGTGAGCTGAGTGCACTGGCGATCGAGCTACGGGGCACCCTAGGATCAAACTTGATTAGTAAGTTTATTTGGGTCTGCACAAATACAGTTACATAGATTATCATACATAGCAGCATATGTGTAGAGAACCTAGGATAACCCAAAAAAAAAGTCAGACATGACTTATTTCCATTCCACCTCATCCTTGCCCTTCCTCAGATGCTGTATTACTCCTATAGGTTTAGTGCTTCTCAATGAATATAATAATTAGTGTTTACACTAGAGATTACTAATATCACTTACGACCGAGCTCGGTTCTGAGAAAGCGGTCGTAAGTCGAAATGGACGTAAGCCGAACTTTACTACTGAATATCAACATCACATTTTTGTAATGACTATTTTATTGTTTTATTTTGGTATTTCATGTTTTACTTTACTTTTTATGCTGTTAATACTGTATTTTATACTGTAAGGTTTAGGATAAACACTGTGTACAACACAAACAGTTGTTTATTTCCCAGAAATTTGGCTTAGAAAACAAGGTCGTAAGTCGTATGTCGAGCAGGTTGTAAGTTGAATGGTAAGTGTATCTAGACTCGTATATATTTAGCATTTGAACTAATTGGATTATTATTATAATCAAAAAGAAGCGCTAAGCCACAAGGGCTATACAGCTGAACTAATTGGAACATCTTTTGTTAGGCTAGAAATCTGATTTCTTTTAATACACTACTTGTCCCCTCAAGGGAGTTTCCTTGATGCTGGTGAGGGGCTCTTGATCTAGGGAATTGGATATGCTCCAGTTCCCTGAATTGACCCTGAATACCTTCCACCCTCCACCCCAACAAATGGGCTGTATAATCCTATGGGTTTAGCGCTCCCCACGATTATAATACACTATTTGCCAATACCTTGTACTAAACTCAGGATAAAAACTGTGCAGGTTTATGTGTTGTCTTTAGTTTGCCTGGAAAGCTGTGTAGTCTTTCAAATTATCGTATTATTATTATTATTATTATCAGTCAAGTGCTAAACCCACAGTGATCATACAGCACTCAACTTATTGTATACTTTTGTACAATCACAAAATAAAAATTATTATTATTGTCAAGGTTAGATTCTTGTCTAGTTAAGCACCTCTCCTATCAAAGTTTTTTTTTTTTTTTTTTTTTTTCAACAAGTCGGTCGTCTCCCACCGAGGCAGGGTGACCCAAAAAAGAAAGAAAATCCCCAAAAAGAAAATACTTTCATCATCATTCAACACTTTCACCACACTCACACATTATCACTGCTTTTGCAGAGGCGCTCAGGATACAACAGTCTAGAAGCATATACGTATAAAGATACATACGTGGGTCCAAGTATCTTAACTTTCCGAACACCTCTGTCCAAGTTAAATTTGGAATTCTTTACTTCCTACCATTTCAACATGAATTATTGGAATTTTATCATTATCCAGGTTACATTTCTTAACTTTTTGAATACTTGCCCTATTTGCATTAAATATCTGAATTTTTTGAATACCTGCCCTTTTTTGAATACCTGCCACTCACTACGAAAGCAAAAGACTTGGCAGACGATGCAACATCCGCCCAATGAAAAGCAGGGGTGTCACTAGCACGTTAAGAGACCATACAATAAGTGTCAGGGGCCCGAGACTGTTCAACTGCCTCCCAGCACACATAAGGGGGATTACCAACAGACCCCTGGCAGTCTTCAAGCTGGCACTGGACAAGCACCTAAAGTCAGTTCCTGATCAGCCGGGCTGTGGCTCGTACGTTGGTCTGCGTGCAGCCAGCAGCAACAGCCTGGTTGATCAGGGGCTGATCCACCAGGCCGCCTGGTCACAGACCGGGCCGCGGGGGCGTTGACCCCCGAAACTCTCTCCAGGTAAACTCCAGGTATCATATTAAATGCCTGAACTCTTTCCACGCCACTGTTATCCAGGTTGGTTATTTATTACGTTCTTCTTTTTGATAATAATAATAATAATAATAATAATAATAATACATTCATGGGGGTGTGCTAAACCCTTAGGGTACATAGTGCCTGGGAGAAGGGGAGGCAATCAAGTTCATTCCAAGGAATAAGACGATAGGTTCAATTCCTTGGATCAAGAGCCCCTTACCAGCATCAAGGCACCTCCCTCTGTTCACTTCCATTATCTAAATTAAGTATTCAAATTCATAGTCAGTTACAGAATGAGCTTTTATTGGGACTTATTATTGTTATTAATTAATAATAATACTAATATTGTGTTATGCAGAACCCATGTGGGTCATTCAGTGCTAGGAGTAGAGGCTCAATCCTTTGTCCTCTTATGTGATGGATGCACTACTCTCAGCTGGCCATGCTAATAGGAGAATCTTATTAGGGCTACATTTTGCACTGTGAAGAGCTACACGAAACATTGTCTCGATAGAAGCTTCCTCTGAAATTTTTCTTTTCATACTTTTTGGTGATAATCCATAACCAAACTTGTATATGTGTTATAAATTATTTTTACCTGTTCATATTACATTTTCAATTCACTTGGAAATCATTTTCACTGATTTAATGGACTTTAGAAATATGGGACAAATCAGATGGAGTCAATAAATAAATAAAAAAAAAGCCCATTGGTTGCAGAATTGTCCATTATTGTAAAGATCCGAGTAAAACAGTCAATTGTCCACTACAGTTGCCATTACCAGCTACCAGCTTTTCCCTATTAACATGTTACATCTAGTTAAAATTTCTTTTTGTTCATGGTATTGCTGGTAAAAACAAGGAATGTAACCATATTTATTTTTTTATTCATAAACATTAACATGAATAAGTAACACTACAAAATATGTATAATACCAGGAATGGCAAATATCTCTATATTATATATACTTGTGCTCATGTGCCTGGAGCTGATGGGAATCACTTTACACCACCAGGGCAGAGCAGGCACAGAGATGCTACACAATTATATGCATTTGTGTGTATGTAAAAAATATATCAGTATTTAGTCAGTAACTGTACAGAGTTATACAAGGTCGCAACACGCTTCAGAAGACTAGTCTTGCATTTATAGATGATCCCAGTAAATGTTCAACAATAATTATAGTAGTTGAAAGGTTACTGTGTACATCATACCCCCACTACATGATAAATCTAAAGGTCTTACCATAGCTACTGCAGTTGTGGTTTGGCAAGAACTTATTCTTCCAGATACTCGATTACAAATTTTGTTAAACATAATCCATTATCTAGTTTTTTCTTTATTTCTTTATGTTCTCCCTACAGAATTCTTATGTGAAACTTTAGAGATATTTCATTAACAATAGTATTTAAAGAAATGTCTGCAATATATGCATAAATAAGGCAAGATTTTTTCTTGTAAATTAAAATGTTTATTTGTACAAGGAATTGGAACACATTAGTTCATAGATCTGGTTGATTGCTCCCAATCTTAACCTTCTTAGTTATTGACCAATAACTGGAAGGCTTTAGGTACTCAGGAGAGGGGTAACGGTGAACACTTGCTACGTCACAAGAGCTTCACTGTTTTAGGATCACCACAACAAAGACTCATCTGATATGAGTCACAGCTCTTCAGGGAAGAGCCATTGGTGTATCATACACTGTCCTGCTGTCAGTGATTCATATTACATGCCAGAAATCTCATTACACTCAAGACTCCTTCACATGGCCCATTGAAACCTTGCAATAATTATGGAGTCCTGGGTGAAGAGCTACATGTACAAGGAAGGGAAGACCTGGTTGCAAGCTGACTTCTGAGCTCAGGTAACATGTGCTCAACAGATTACCCAAGGGCAGGCTAGAGACACTGAGCTTATGAAGTGCTTGTGTGGTTTGAGATCGAAGAGCTCCATACAAACTATGTGGACAGTTTTATGGCTATATACGCAGAAGCAGGTCTGGAGGCAGGCTGGCAGAGTTGCGTAGCAAGGTGACGCGCTGTGTGAGAGCCACATTGGCTTTCTTCCTCCCCACCTCTGATCTCAGGGTCTTAACCTCCCGCTGAGCCAGTGTCCTCAGCTAAAGAAACAGAGGTAATATTAATAAAGAATAAGTTATAACAGGAAATAAAAAAAAATGCCATTTTATTCCATCCTGAACTATCATCAATTTGCGAGGTCCTTGTTAATGGCAGATATAAAGAGTACAAGTGTATTCTTGCAAGAATTTTTTTTTTTTTTAACCTAATTTAACCTTTGCCAGTTTGGGTTTAGACCAAAGAGGTGTCTTATGTTAGGCAAAAGGACACGAGTGCAACTCATGTGGTAACGTTTCACTCTCCAGAAGTTTTATCAAGCCGTTACAAAAAATACATTTACACAGAGGGTGGTGTGGAGTGAGGTGTAATAGTAGTAGTAATACAATATGGTAGGACAATCAACTTGCACATGAGTAAAAGGTTATGAAAGCTATTACTTGGGTAGCATAAAAATAGACAAATATTTCTGATAGCAGTTGGATTTGAGAAGGTCTGTTTCAGTATTCCTCCTCTGTTATGTTCTTGTGTAGTATTAGCAGCAGAGACTGATGGCAGGGTTTATTGTTTTGAGGAGAATTTTTGCTAATATTTCAGAGATGATGAAACTGCCTTTTTACTTGTGTTAGAAACAGCAATTAATGATGATTCAAGGCATTACGTCTGCAGAAATTGGGATCTGTGACCACTAGTAGGGCGTTGTTGAATTTCACGAGGCAATTGGTGGAATTCCGGTGTTGTACACAGGTGTTGTGCAAGTTATCAATCCTACTTCTATTTCAGTCAAGATACTAAGACCAAAGGAGGCATCATCATTGGATTTTTCCTAAGAACATATAGAATTTATAGTCCTGAGTTTGACAAGGAATGCACTTACATACACCAAATCTTCATGGATCTACATTTTCCTTCCTTTTTCCATCAAAGACTGCAAGAAAAGAGCTCTTCAGATTATCAATTATTCACGCACCAACACCACTCCCAACAAAGTTATAATCCTTCTCATCAGCCACGTTACACTGAACGTTTCCAAGGTACTAACACTAGAGCCACCATCGCATCCAGCACTTCCATAAGGGATCTAACCAGGACAAAATTGAATCACCATGAACCAGTCAATACAGGAGTTTACATTATACCTCGTGGAGGCTGTGACAGGATGTATGTAGGTGAAAGAGCAAGGAATCTCGAAACACACCTTAATGAACACATTAATGCATGTAGGAATGATAACTTAAACAATGCTGGCGTACAACGCCAGAATTCCACCAATTACCTTGTGAAATTCAACGACGCCCTACTAGTGGTCAGAGAACCCAATTTCCACAGACGTCAATGCCTTGAATCATCATTAATTGCCGTTTCTAACACAATCAAGCAAAATAAAGGCAGCTTCATCATCTCTGCAGTATGAGCAAAAATCCTACTCAAAACAATAAACCCTGCCATCACAGTCTCTGCTGCTAATACTACACAAGAACATAGCAGAGGAGGAACACTGAAACCACACCTCCTCAAATCCAACTGCTAACAGAAATATTTGTCTATCCTGCTTTTATGATACCAAAGTAATAGCTTTTATAACCTTTTACTCAATGTGAAAGTTGATTGTTCTACCATATTGTATTACAACTAATATTACTACCAGTAGTATTACACCACACTCCAAGCCTATATATACTCTCTGTGTCCACGTATTGTTTGTAACGGCTTGATAAAGCTCCTGGAGAGCGAAACAGTGCCACAATAAAATGTCACATTAGTTGCACTTGTGTCCTTTTAGTAAGTTTATTCAGATATGCACAAATACAGTTACATAGATTATCATACATAACAGCATGTGTAGAGAACTTGGGATAACCCAAAAAAGTCAGTCAGTGACATTTCCATTGGGAAAAGGCGAAGACGGAGAAGGGGAAAAAACATCAGGTTAAGTCACGGGTGTTCTGAAGTTTGGAGCATTTTACAATGTAATGGGAAAGGGAGGCATCTACAGAGAAAGCCAGGACTAACATTCATACAAGAAAAGTCGTGTATAAGGGAGGATTCAACCAACCCGTGACTGTGATGATGACCAACAAACTCACTCTCAACATGGACAAATGCTGTATAGCCCTTGTGGCTTAGCACTTCTTTTTGATTATAATAATAATAATATGGACAAAACATACTTCAAGCTGTTTGGAAACAGAGCCTTAAATATCCAACTTAATATATCGATAAAAGGTTTCCCTATTTCAATACACACTGAGGGTAAATTTCTAGATCATCATCTTGACTGTAATCTTAAATTTCATTCCCACATCCAGCATATATCCAAGAAAATTTCCAAATCAGTAGGCAGCCTACTTCCTACCCTATACCACTTTCCTTTTTGATTATAATAATAATATACCACTCTTTAATATATTCCTACCTCACCTATGATATTTGTGCCTGGAGTTCAACCACAGCCAACCACCTTAAACCTTTAATAACCCAACAAAAGGCTGCTGTGCAGATGATTACCAGCTCCTGTGAAAGACAGCACACCCCACCACTTTTCAAAAGCCTGAACTTGCTTTATAAATATTTGAGACATGCTCATATTATTGTGCCTACTACATATACAGAACGTTAAACTCCAATATAAACCCTCCACTTCAACTTCTTGATATCTAAAACAGAACGCACAGTCACAATACCAGGCATAAGGCACTCTTCGACATCCCTCGTGTTAGTCTCGCACTATGCAAAAATGCAGTGCACATAAAGGGCCCAAAGATCTGGAATTCACTACCTGAACTGGTAAAGGATCCCCTGACTAATTATAAATTTAGGACTTCACTTAAAAATCCTCTCTCAATACTAACCAAAACAACTTCTAATCAGTTATTATGTTATACATGTATGACCTCTAGTCTATTAAACATCTGCCAATCCATGAAATATTACTGCTTGAACCATTAATTATAATATTGTTTTTATTATGTGCAACTTCTGATTTTTTCAGAAGTTGCACATAATAAAGGTGTGGAGTTAAAAGATAAAGAATCAAACACAAAGTGGGAGTTGTCACGGTTGCTCTTTGCTGATAACACAGTGCTTTTGGGAGATTCTGAAGAGAAGTTGCAGAGGTTGATGGATGAATTTGGTAGGGTATGTAAAAAGAAGAAAATTAAAAGTGAATATAGGAAAGAGTAAGGTTGAGGATAACAAAAAGATAAGGTGACGAAAGACTGAATATCAGATTGGAGAGAGAGAGTATAGAGGAGGTGAATGTATTAAGATATTTAGGAGTGGATGTATCAGCAGATGGGTCTATGAAGGGTGAGGTGAATCACAGAACTGATGAGGGTAAAAAGGGTGAGTGGTGCAATTGGGAGTCTGTGAAGACAAAGAACTTTGTCTGTGGAAGCAAAAAGGGGAATGTATGAGAGCATAGTTGTACCAACACTCTTGTATGGGTGTGAAGCATGGGTGATGAATGTTGCAATGAGGAGAAGGCTGGAGGCAGTTGAGATGTCATGTCTGAGGGCAATGTGTGGTGTGAGTATAATGCAGAGAATTCGTAGTTCGGAAATTAGGAGGAGTGGGATTACCAAAACTGTTATCCAGAGGGCTGAGGAGGGGTTGTCGAGGTGGTTCGGACATGTAGAGAGAACGGAACAAAAGAGAATGACTTCAAGAGTGTATAAATCTGTAGTGAAGGGAAGGTGGGGTAGGGGTCAGCCTAGGACGGGTTGGAGGGAGGGGGTAAAGGAGGTTTTGTGTGCGAGGGGCTTGGACTTCCAGCAAGCATGCATAAGCGTATTTGATAGGAGTGAATGGAGACAAATGGTTTTTAATACTTGACGTGCTGTTGGAGTGTGAGCAAAGTAACATTTATGAATTGATTCAGGGAAACCGGCAGGCCGGACTCGAGTCCTGGAGATGGGAAGTACAGTGTCTACACTCTGAAGGAGGGGTGTTAATGTTGCAGTTTTATAACTGTAGTGTAAAGCACCCCTCTGCAAGACAGTGATGGAGTGAATGATGAAAGTTTTTCTTTTTTGGGCCACTCTGCCTTGGTGGGAATTGGCCGATGTGTTAATAAAAAAAAATATGTGCAACTTCGAGATTATTATTGTTATATACATACCTCCACCTTGACTACCTCACATTAGTATTAAGATTAAATAAAGGTTTTAATAAAAGTTAATCACTTATCTTGTCTAGATTTCAGTAGTTATTATGTACTAGGATTAGTCTGCCCGAAATGCCTCGGCATGACAGTGGCTTTCTTTGTACCTAGCAAACCAAAATTGTAATTATACATTGTAACCTTTACAAAGAAATAAAATCTTTATTTTTTATTCTAACTACCTTCTGGCCCTGCTTCTAAAACACGAGCTCCATATTCTAGGTGTACTACTGAGCTTAAATGCAGCGCTGTATAACCCTTGTGGCTTAGCGCTTCTTTTTTATTATAATCTTAATGGTCCAGGAGCTGATATCCAGCTCCTGGACCTGTTGCTTTGCTAGCTGTGTTTGAGGGTGAAACCTTAGAATATTCATGTCTTGGATCTTTGTCAGTTATGTGAATAGTGTTTATCAAGGTGGAAAAAAAAAAAAAGTACCCTGTGTGCTTTTGTTTCCCACCTACTATCTATGGTATACAGCCTCTCCTCACCTAATGACAGATTTCTGTTCCTAATACCACATCAATAAATGAATTCGTTGCTAAATGAGGAGCATACTATAATGGTAGTGGGTTTAAGTCGTCATTTTTGATATTGCTTTAATGTCACCCCTTGTACCATTTATAACATTTTTAGTATATTTTTAAATGTTTATACAGTAGTGTACTGTATATTGTAATAAACAGAATAGAGGAAATCAACTCTAATATACATTATTTTGGTATGCATACTGGTCAGAGAGCCCGTTTTAAGTTCGAGTCGTCGGTAAACGAGTACGTTGCTAAGTGAGGAGAGGCTGTACATGGATGGAAACAACTTTCCCACACATTTAGCCTTTTGTGCCTTTTTCTTTGCCACAACTTTTCACCTGCTATTCAATCCTGACCTAGTCAAGATTTTGACCTGATCCTCTGCTCACCTTCATCTCGGCCTCCACCTTGATCTCCATAGCCTCCACCCTTCTCCGTAAGTCTTCAATTTCATGCCTGAGACGTATAACGGAGATCTTGTAGTTGGCCTGTTGAGAAATAAAGAGGTTAAATGTACCTGCAATTTCTACATACATACTCATTTTACTTCACTTAATTTCATTCTCTTAATATAAACAGTATCATTCCACAAGCAGGTATTCAGCAAGACCAACTGCACAAAAAGATAATTACATATTGTAAGGCAATGCTGACAAATATAGGCAATAGAACACATATAAATGCAGTGGGAAGCTTTTTTTTTATCAAACAGCATTTCACTCAGAGAGAGCTTTGTTTTCATAAAGCTCTCTCAGCAAAATGTTTATAATATTATAGAGGAACGCTAAACCCATAGGGATTATACAGCACCTGTGGGGAGGATGGGATGGAAGGCATTCAGGCTTAATTCAGGGAAGTAGAACACAGATCCAGTTCCCAAAATCAAGAGCCCCTCATCAGCATCAAGGAACCTCCCTCAAGGGGTACATTATTAATAAAGGCTTACTGTTCTGTCTTTGTATCCCCATGAAATAGGTGTTATGACACTAGTGAATGGCTGTTGATTCAAAGAATGGAATTACCCTCCATTTCCTTGAATAGAATCTGATTACCTCCCACTTCCCTAGGTGCTGTATGACCCTTATGGGTTTAGCGCTTCCCACAAAGAATAATAATTAACCATAAAAGCAAGCTAAAACATACTCTTAAATAACTAAAAGGTATACTATATAAACCACTTTACTCAATATAGAATTAGCGATTAGTAAATATTTTGACTAAGATATCTTCCTGTCAAAGCAGGTTTCTTGATGCTGATGGAGGGCTCTGGCCCTTGTGGTTTAGCACTTCTTTTATTATTATAATAATAATAATAATGATGATGGAGGGCTCTTTGATCCACGGAATTGGACTTGTCTTCCCCTTGAGTCAGGCCTGATTGTCTATCCCCAGGATCTGTGCGACTCCTACGAGTTTAGTGCTTCCCATGAATGTAATATAGAGCATTCACTACAGATTAAAATAAATACGTGTTCTTCTGAACAAATCCTAAACCACTAAACTAGTAGAAAGTAAAGCAACAAGTAAACCAATAAGTAATCCATTGAACAAACTTAATATTCAACAAGTAGCTGAGGAATCATTAACCAAGTTAAAAAAAGAAGGTATGTTTGGCTTTCTGTTTAGTCTAAGAAACAGCTAAGCAAGTGATTCACTGAAGAGGTGAACAAGTTTGTGAAAAGAGTGAGCTATACATGAAACCAGTGATTAGGTGCATCAGTAAATAATTGGATATCGGCCCGTCAGGATAATGGCTAATTTGATTTCAGCCGCTTTTTTGGCTGAAATTCTATCCTGGATTTCAGCTGGCAACTCGGAAATTAGCTGTACTGGATGCATCCGCCCACCCTGCTGCATACATGAGTCAGTCTGGGTGTCTCTCTGTGAGAGAGCAACACACAGTGCATTCATCCAAACATTTCGTTATAATCCATTGTTTTTTGTGATTGTTTATGGAGTGTGACTGAAATAAGCCACTGTGGGCCCAAAGAAAGTTGCTAGTGCCAGCCCTTTGGTAAAGAAACAGACCTCTCTGGACAGTTTTTGTGCAACAGGGGTGCATTATTATTATTATAATAAAAAAAGAAGCGCTAAACCACAAGGGCCATACAGTGCTGCAGGGCAGGGAAGGAAGCGAGAGTATCGGGTGGCAAAAGGGAGAGGGATGATTAGTAAGTTCTCGAGGATAGCGGGGCAGTGGATAGCGCAGGGGTAGAGGGTAGCAAGAGATTGAGGTTGAAAGAAAGGGCTGTGGGGAGTGCTAAAGGCATCATCATCAGTGTTTGTGGAGTAAAGCAGTTGTCAAAAAGTCAATGAGAGAGTCTGGAATAAAGGAGGGTCCGTCAGCAAGAAGGGAAGGTAAAGAGCAGCAGAGTGGAGACAACAATGGAGGTAAATTCTGCGTGCTCGTTGATAGAGTGGGCAGTCTAACAGAATGTGACTTAACAGATACTGGAACCTGACAATTCTCAGAGAGAGGAACAGGGCGCCTCTCCATGAGATACCCGTGAGTAAGACGAGTGTGGCCAATGTGAAAACAGAAGAGCAGTTTCCCAACCTTGACACTGATGACAAGGAGACGGCCAGTAACCTAGACTCGGTTTAATAGAATGAAGTTTGTTATTGAGCAGATCAGACCAACGTTGTTGCCAACAGGGTGTGAAGGTGGGTAGCAATTACGGCAAAATAGTCCGTGAATGGAACACCTGACCATGCAGTAGTACATTGCCCTGTATGTCAACATGACCAGGGACCCAACAAAAAACAATATCTTTGTTTGGTAGAGATACGGCATAACCAAAGTTGGATACAGAGAACTAGGGGATGAGGTGTATCAAATTCTCGTATAGCCTGTAAAGTACTAAGGGAGTCTGAAACAACCAGAAATGGTGACGCAGGCATAGATGCAATACAGATAAGTGCTACAAGAATGGCATACAATTCAGCAGTAAAAATGCTAGCCGAGGATAGTATATGCCCATGCACGACACTATCCGGAAACACTGCTGCGAATCCGACGCCGTCAGAAGACTTAGAGCCATCTGTGTATATGGCGATGGCATGAGAATGAGAGCGGAAGTGGTGAAGAAAAGGAGAGCGGGAAGCTACCGTAAGCAGTTGGGCTTTCGCGCAAGGGAGTGAGAAAGAACAGACTCGAACAGCTGGAACTTCCCAGGAGGGCAGGGAAAAGGGAGATGCGACATGAACATAGGTGGTAACTGAAGGGAATACAAGCGAATGGAGGCAAAGAGAAAAGGGACGGAGTAAACAGGGGTGATGAACAAATAAAGAATGCCTACTAACATCGGTGACTATTCTGTATATGGAAGGGTTGCGGAGATCATGAGAGCAAACATAGTAGTGAAGGCACTGGGCATCACGGCAATTGGACAAGGATGGAATATTCACTTCAGCATAGACACACTCAACAGGGGAAGAGCGAAAAGCACCAAGGCATAAATGTAATCCCTGGTGATGGATGGGATTAAGGCTAGAGAGAGTAGCAGGAGAGGCCGCTGAATAGATCTGGTCACCATAATCGAGTTTCGATAAAATGAAGGCTGAATGTAGGCGAAGGAGAGTTCAACGATTAGCTCCCCACGAAAGATGAGCAAGGGTTTTAAGAAGGTTCAGACAGCTGTGACAAGTTGCCTTCAGAGAGATAATGTGAGGTTTCCAGGATAATCTACGGTCAAAGAGAAGGCCTAGAAACCTGACCGTATCACGTTCAGGGATACACGAGCCATAGAAGTACAAAGGATGATTGGAGATGACAGAGCGTCTAGTGAAGGTAATTTGGCGAGTTTTAGTAATGGAAAATTTAAACCCATGCGTGGTGGCCCAATGGGAAACATGGTTGACCACATGCTGGAGAGAAACTATAATGAGGTGACAGTCAGCACCTGCACAAGCAATAGCAAAGTCATCAACATAGAGGGATGACCAAATATTGGATGGAAGAAGAGGCCAAATCATTTATAGCAAGGAGAAAAAGTGTGCTCAGAACATATCCCTGGGGGACACCTTCAGCTTGGACAAAGTCAGGACATCATATTATTAACCCGAACACGGAAATGTCTGTCAGTTAAGAAGTTCTTGAGGAAAGATGGTAGATTGCCTCGGGGGCCTAAGGAGTGGGCTTGGGCCAAAATATTATACCTCCAAGTTTTGTCATATGCCTTCAAGATCAAAAAATCTGGCAATAGCTAAGTGGTTATTTGCAAAGGCATTACGAACATACGTATCCAAGCATAGTAAAGGGTCTATGGTAGAATGCCCCTTACGAAAACCATATTGACTAGTGGAGAGACTGTTGTGAGTCTCTAAATACCACATTAAACGTCGATTTACCAGACATTCCTTCACTTTGCAAACTGGACTAGTAAGAGCAATGGGACGATAGTGGGAGGCATCATGTCCCGTAGTACCTGGTTTGCGGAAAGGGAGAACAATGGCAGACTTCCACAGCTAGGGAAGAACTCCCTGTGACCAAATAAGATTGAAGAGTTTTAAGAGGACTGTAAGGGCCGACTGATGTAAATGTTGCAACATCCGAATATGAATGCCGTCAGGTCCAGCTGCCGATGATTGGCAAGCTGAGAGTGTTGCCTCCAGTTCCGGAAGTGTGAAAGGCACATTATAAGATTCTTCTTTGAAAGAAGAAAAGTCTAAGGGTGCTAACTCTCTGGCAGACTTTCAGGAAAGAAACGAGGGGCGTAGATGGAGCCCCTGATAAATATGGACCAGATGATTGCCAATTTCAATGGCAACATCAAGAGGGTTTGTTATAGCAACACCAGCAACCTGCAGAACAGGAGCCGGGCCAGGAGAGTATTTACTACTCAGTTTCGTACTTTTTTTCCAGACTGCACCCACAGAGGAGGCGGAGGTGATGGAAACAATCTCGCCAGTAAGTGCGTTTAGCATCACAAATGACATGAGTGACCGCTCACTTCTGCTTAAAATCAAGAAGTCTCTCTGTGGTTCTGTTGTACCGATACCTGCCCCACGCAGCGTTTTTCAAACGTACTGCCTGAGCACAAGCAGGAGACCACCATGGCATGCACTTCTGAGAAAGCCTGCCCGAGGTTTGGGGTATAGAATGAGAAGCTGCAGTGAAAACTGACGTCGAGAAGAGGTGTAAAAGCTCATCAATGGAGGAAGAAGGAACCTCACTAAAAGCAGTTAGTTGCAAGTAAAGGTCCCAATTTGCTTGACCAAATTGCCAGCGTGGGCTATGAAGAGGTGGTGAATATGAAAAAGAGGTCAGAATGATTGGAAAATGATTGCTGTCATGCAAGCCCGGGAGAACAGACCAGGTGAAGCCTAGTGCAGTGGAGGAAGAGCAGACCGAGACATCATTGCAAGAGAGTGAGTACGAGGATCAAAATGGGTGGGAGTACCCGTATTTAAAACATGGAGGGGGTGAGAAGCGAGAAAAGCTTCCAACTGAATGCCACGTGAATCACAGTGAGACCCCCAGAGGAAATGATGGGCATTAAAATCGCCAAGTAACAGAAGTGGTGGTGGTAAGGATGAAACAAGAAAGGCAAAATCTGGGATAGATAATGCCTGAGAAAGAGAGAGAGATACAAAGAACAGATTGTATACCACTTATTCAAGTGGATACGGGCTGCAGTGTAATGCAGCGAGGTACGAACAAATAGCTGACGGTACGGAATATCAGTGTGTAGAAGAAGGGCACTTTCATTAAAGGTCCCATCAGAAACAGGATCCAAAGAATACAATAAGTTATAGCCTGAGATGGGATGGAAAACAGCAGTGTAATTTTGGTTCTTGTAAGCAAACACCAACAGGGGAAAACCGGTAGAGCAACATCTGAAGGTCACCCCGATTACCCGAGGCCGCGGATATTCCACTGTAAATAGGCCATGATGATCAACGAGAAAGATACCAGGAATTCGCAGGTAAGGGTACCTATGGACTCGAGGGGTTAGAAAAGTCCACATGTGGTGGCAGCGGAAAACGTTCAAGCAGCGAAGGAACAGAGCGCTGCAAAGAAAGGAGTTATGCAGATGAAGGAGAGGGAAGCCTGCTTCCAACGAATTATGGATTCACTCATTCAGGAAGAGCAACTCACGGGAACTTACGCGTATTTAGATAATGTTACCATTTGTGGCAAGACCCAGGAGGAACATGATGCAAACCTTGATAAGTTTTTGGAAGCTGCCAAGAAGAAAAATATCAGTTACAATGAGGAAAAGTGCACTTTTTCAACTAAAAGGCTTAGCATCCTTGGTTATGTAGTGGAAGGAGGTTCAATATTCCCAGACCCTGAACGACTACGACCTCTACGGGAACTTCCAATGCCTCAAGGCAAAAAGTCACTCCGAAGAACTCTTGGTCTCTTTGCTTATTACTCACAATGGATCTACAACTATCGAGTAAAGTCCGCCCATTGAGTGCTACCACATTTCCTGTGCAAAGGAAGCAGAACACTTTTCCATACTCTCAAACAGGACATTGAAAACTCTGTAGTTCAAGCCATTGATGAGTCCCTACCATTCGAAGTGGAAACAGACGCATCTGACATTACCATTGCTGCATTCTTATCTCAGGCAGGACGACCAGTAGCCTTCTTTTCGAGAACTTTTCAGGATCAGAGAAAGTATGCTGCTGTAGAAAAAGGAAGCCCAGGCCATCATAGAAGCAGTTCGCCACTGAGGCATTATTTAACTGGTAGACATTTCACCATAAGGACTGACCAACGGTCCGTGATGTATATGTTCGACAAGAAGCACAAAAGTAGGATAAAGAATGACAAGATATTACGCTGGAGGATAGAACTATCGTGTTGACTTCGATATTCTGTACCGACCGGGTCAAGAGAACATCTCACCTGATGCATTCTCTAGGTCTCACTGTGGAGCAGCATGTCATGATTTGCAATCACTCTCAGCGCTCCACAAGGCTGTGTGTCACCCAGGAGTTACACGCCTGTACCATTTTGTCAAATCAAAGAACATGCCCTACTCAGTGGAAGATGTGCAACAAGTGATCAGAGCATGCAGAGTATGTGCAGAGTGCAAGCCAAACTTTCATCAGCCAAAGAAGACTCGTCTCATAAAATCCACCCAGCCTTTCGAGAGACTGAATATAGATTTCAAAGGACCTCTACCAAGCACAAATCAGAATAGGTATTTCCTTAACATAGTAGATGAATATTCAAGGTTTCCCTTTGTATTCCCCTGTGCAAATATGACTGCTTCAACTGTTATTAGTTGTCTTTCACAGTTGTTCTCTATTTTTGGTATGCCAGCTTATATCCATTCAGACAGGGGATCCTCGTTCATGAGTAACGAACTTCAGGAGTTTTTGGCTAGCAAAGGTATTGCCTGCAGCAGAACAACAAGCTACAACCCTCAAGGCAATGGTCAAGTGGAGCGGTTCAATGGTACTATATGGAAGGCAGTTACAATGACACTGAAGTCACGCAATCTACCTGTTCAACACTGGCAAACTGTCCTACCTGATGCTCTTCACTATTAAATCATTGCTGTGCACAGCTACTAATGCAACCCCTTATGAAAGACTCAACTATTCACGTCGTTCCTCTATGGGAGCCTCGTTCTCCTGAAGAGTCACCGTAGGATGAACAAGACTGATCCTTTAGTGGAAGAGGTAGAGCTCCTGCAAGCTAATCCACATTACGCCCACATTCGCTAAAAATGGTGAAGAGACTACAGTATCTACAAGACATTTAGCCCCAGTTGAAATCCCCATTAGTGTGGAATCTCAAGATACACCAACAGATGTGAAAGATGCTTCGTTTTCTCCTGGAAAGCCCCTTGAGACTACCCCTACGGAAATAGAGGATTCTGCTCCAGCAGTTAGTCAAACCCCGCTGGAAAATATTGAACCTGGTGAAGAGGCTCAAGGGCTACGAAGGTCGGGACGTGTACGTCGCCCACCTAACGGTTTGGGAGATTACTGTGTCTGATATTTTAGAAGGGGGAGATTGTAGTGATACTGCTCCTGTGGGAAGCAGCAGCAGGATAATACTGCACCACCTCTCAGGGCCCTTAACAACAACAACAGTTCGGTGTGTGTCATGGGCGCCAACACATGGTGTGCGATTCTCTTCTCTTCTATCCATATATTAGTGATGCAGATTACATGGTGAGTTTAAATATGTGGCCTGTAGCTATAACTTTTCTCTTGACATATGCAAGACATCACCATTCCTGTAGAAGCCGTTATTAGATGTACTAGTCATTATATTTTGTTGTTGCAGAAGTACTATGAAGATTCTATGTTCAATAAAGCCTAGAGATAAGGCCTGTGTTTTTATCACAACACCACTACAAGAATTGAGGGAATGATGTTTTTTGATAGTGATAAGAATAGTATCGATATGTGAAAGAAGCGGAAGGTCATGGTTAGCATTCTGGACAGTAATGATGAGTGTACTACTCTTGAGAGCGTGGAAGGATAGATCTCTACCAACATGGCACAAGAGTGCATTACCAATACTATGGTCGGAAAGAGGGGCAGTAGAGGAAGTGGGTCATAAAGAATTTAATCCATTGTACAGTTCTAAACTGATCGTGGAAAGGGAGGGCGTGATGGGTCAGTCATTTCTGAGGAGGGTGAGAAGGAAGTGAAGTAGCATCAGGTAATTGTCGTGGGAATTTCTGAGTGGGGGGAATGGGGAGGAAAAGTTCCTAGGAGGAATGAAAAGGCTGGAAATCTCCTTCTGGAATGGATTAATTGTATTTGCATTAATTCTTATGGGAAATATTACTTTGGTTTTCGGCCTTTTTGGATTTAGGCCGACCTTTTGGAATGGATTACGGCAGAAATCCGGGGTTCCACTGTACAAGGAACAAGCCAGTGATATAGTATTCTGGCAAACCAAAGATACAGAATCACTAAACCAGTGATGCCCAGAACGAGTAACCTAATGAGGCAGTGATGACATCAAGCAAAATAGTAAACCAGTAAGATTGAAACCTATACAGAAAAACCATTAAAAGAACGAGATGTTTGTATACAGACCCTCCTGGAAGGCTCGTCCTTCACACCCGTGATGAGAGGCTCCCGCTTGATGATGGAACCGATGATGCGACGATGAAGAGAGTCCAGTTCATTCCTCAGCCCTGCCTGTCGCTCCTCTAGCTGTGTGCCGATTCTGCGAGCATCAATCCACGCTGTCCACCATTCCTGCCGCCGCTGTAGGTCAGGAGCTCAGTTAAGGTAAAGATAACTCAAAGGTGGTGCTTCGCTAATGAGGGAACAGTGAAAGAGTGGTGATACAGTATTTTGGATGGTAATATTGCAAAGGTGTAACCTAACTGTGGCTACCTTGCAAATTCACTGTAAATAATTAAATTCACAAGCTAAACTAACCTACTCTGGTTTTCCTTTAAATCACTGTAAATAAATAACTTCTGTGAGTAGTTTGCCTAGCCTAGCCTAATGTATGTCTCTGGGCCAAGCTGTGAGTTAACTTAACCTAAATTTTATTAATCCCTGGTACATAACTGTGGCCTAGCTGAATTAAGACCAATTTGCCTGCTAAACTAGCTATTTCACATCCAGTTCGAAGGACCAATATGGAAATCTTGTGTGGACTGCCTCCTTGCGAGCTGCTCACCCTGGCAAGTACTGTTGACACAGACACCCTGTGATTAATTGTGTTAGTCTCACAAGCGGCTTTTAGGATATTTCCAAATGCAAGTGATCTTGCAAGAAATTCCTAACTACTTGCATGAACAAAGGACCGACTTACTTGGTGGTGGAGACTGTTACTAGAAATCCCCTGATTCTACCCAAGCAAACTAGATTCCTCTGGTCCCTCTCTTCTAGAAACCACATGCAGTGAATGACTTATTTCTGCAAGTATTCAGATGGTATTAGTATCGCTGCCTGCACCTTAGAGATCCCTGAATTCAATGGGCATTTCCTAAGCAATATTTATGCAGTAACACTAGCTTCTAGACTAATACTTCTGAGGAGATGCCCATAAACGTACTGGTCTGTGGCCTTTCGCCCACCTTGTGACCCTAAGCTCAAATTTCCCACTCTCCCATACAACATTGACCAACTAAATACAGGAAAATGTTGGAGAGCGTCTTACTAAGGGGTGTCTGGTGAGAGACTAGTCCTCAGTACTTCTGGAAGCCTCTCAGTGAAATTCAGGCTGATATTTTGAAGATATATGGAGCTCTAAGCTGTAGCTCCCAAGACCTTCTGCTCTCAACAGTGTATTGTCTTGGAGGTGTTAGCATCATCTCTGACCCACTCCCGCTTCCCTTCAAGTGTGGGGTTGCCAGCTCTTAGCTAATATAACCTAATATTTGCCTATATTAAGGCCAAAGCCCACCTATGTTAAAGTCTAAGGCTACATTATTAATATCTAAGGTTACGTCACTAATTCTAATATTAGTTAGTAACTGTATAAACCTACTTAAACCTTCCATGAAGGGTAAATATATCAATCAGTACGTACAATCTCACTGCCTCTGCCAACTAGTGTTTTCTTTGGGTGGATGTGGGGGCTCCTAAACCTCATACGCTGTCCATCCGTGGAATTTTTGGGGAGACCAAATAATTTTCCACACATGTACAAAAAATTTAACAAGATAATAACAAAAAAACATCGTGACTGCAATATTACAAATTTTAGCAAATTTATGAGAGCGGTCATTGTAAAATTCGTGTTAAAGGCAAAATTTATTCGAAGTAGATCATCATCCCTTGTATGTTTAATGGAGGAGGCGGCTTCACGTAAAAAAAAATTGGAAAACACAGCTTTGAAGCTTCCTAATTACTAAACTTTCAGGTAAAGCCTAAGAAATTGCAAAGAGAAGTGATGTTGACAAGAGAAAACTTTTCCTTCTGTTGACAAGACTAGATGCACTAGAAGACAAAAAAGAATGCAGATGTAATATATACAGACTTTGCAAAAGCCTTCGACAAGTGTGACCATGGCGTAATAGCACACAAAATGCGTGCTAAAGGAATAACAGGAAAAGTTGGTAGATGGATCTATAATTTCCTCACAAACAGAACACAAAGAGTAGTACTCAACAGAGTAAAGTCTGAGGCGGCTACGGTGAAAAGCTCTGTTCCATAAGGCACAGTACTCGCACCCATCTTGTTTCTCATCCTCATATCTGACATAGACAAGGATGTCAGCCACAGCACCGTGTCTTCCTTTGCAGATGACACCCGAATCTGCATGACAGTGTCTTCCATTGCAGACACTGCAAGGCTCCAGGCGGACATCAACCAAATCTTTCAGTGGGCTGCAGAAAACAATACGAAGTTCAACAATGAGAAATTTCAATTACTCCGATATGGTAAACATGAGGAAATTAAATCTTCATCAGAGTACAAAACAAATCCCTTCCACAAAATAGAGCGAAAAACCAACGTCAAAGACCTGGGAGTGATCATGTCAGAGGATCTCACCTTCAAGGACCATAACATTGTATCAATCGCATCTGCTAGAAAAATGACAGAATGGATAATGAGAACCTTCAAAACTAGGGATGCCAAGCCCATGATGACACTCTTCAGGTCGCTTGTTCTATCTAGGCTGGAATGTTGCTGCACACTAACAGCACCTTTCAAGGCAAGTGAAATTGCTGACCTAGAAAATGTACAGACAACCTTCACGGCGCGCATAACGGAGATAAAACACCTCAATTACTGGGAGTGCTTGAAGTTCCTGAACCTGTACTCCCTGGAATGCAGGCGGGAGAGATACATGATTATATACACCTGGAAAATCCTAGAGGGACTAGTACCAAACTTGCACACGAAAATCACTCACAACGAAAGCAAAAGAATCGGCAGACGATGAAACATCCGCTCAATGAGAAGCTTGGGTGTCACTAGCACGCTAAGAGACAATACAATAAGTGTCAGGGGCCCGAGACTATTCAACTGCCTCCCAGCATACATAAGGTGGATTACCATTAGACCCCTGGCTGTCTTCAAGCAACCACTGGACAAGCACCTAAAGTCGGTACCTGACCAGCTGGGCTGTGGCTCATACGTTGGATTGCGTGCAGCCAGCAGTAACAGCCTGGTTGATCAGGCTCTGATCCACCATGAGGCCTGGTCACAAACCGGGCCGCGGGGGCGTTGACCCCCGGAACTCTCTCCAGGTAAGGAAGGTCGCCTGACTGGCGTGTACCAGTAGCATCGATCGTATAGAATTTAAATGATGCCGAGCTATTATCTGTTCACCTGGTCCCTCGGCAGAGTAAATAATGGTTTAGAATACCTGCATGCACTATTATATTAATAAAATAAATACAATATTTACATAGAAGCTTGCTCACTTGTCAAGGTTTATAATCTCGACGTCATTGAGATTATAAGATAAGATTTCGTTCCGATTTTTAACCCCGGAGGGTTAGCCACCGAGGATAACCCAAGAAAGTCAGTGTGTCATCTAGGACTGTAACTTATTTCCATTGGAGTCCTCAATCTTGTCCCTCAGGATGCGACCCACACCAGTCGACTAACACCCAGGTACCTATTTGCTGCTAGGTGAACAGGACAACAGGTGTAAGGAAACGTGTCGAAATGTTTCCACCCGCCGGGAATCGAGCCCGAGCCCTCCGTGTGTGAAGCGGGAGCTTTAGCCACCAGGCCACCACCGGTGTATTTTTTAACACTTGGTAGTTTCTGCCCTAGAAAGCGCAGTTCACCATGACACGTACAGTATGTGCCATGGTGAGCCAGTACGTTGCGTACACCTACATACACTTACTCTTCATGTCATGATATCAAGGCACCTCTTTCCACTGAGAAAAGTAGATGAAAGGTGTGGTGGTCATTGCATTTTGCTTTAGGGCATTTAGATTTGTTTCCCAAAATATCTCGCAGATGAATGTATTAACTCCAACTAGCTTTCACGAAACTGCACTTTCCTATCTCATTTACACGCAAGGTCTTCTGAAACCCCCATCCCCCCAAGATAATAAACATCCTTGTATACTCTTCTTCCTCTTCTTCCAACTTCTATGTAGCCGAACAGCTTTAAGATATTCCCAGAGATGTTGCCGCTATCTTTGTTACCAACACTTAAGAGCCAACAAAAAATAATAACACCTAGTACTAAGTAGGTACCTGGGTATTAGTCGACTGGTGTGGGTTGTATCATGGAAAAGAGGATTAGAGTACTCCGATGAAAATAAGCCACACAATCAGTCTACTTGTCTATTTGGTTATCCTGGATTACTAACACTCCTGGTTCATAATCCGAATAAAATGTCTTTTTCTTCAAGGTGTTGGGCTACAGATCCTGGGCCTCTTGAGGGGTAACGAGCTACAGCTTCTAGGACACTCGACAGTGTTGAGATGTAGGTCCTTGGCTTTCCTGAAGGTGTCAAGTTACAGTTCGAATGCCTCGGTTGTTTAATTACACCAACTGGACCTCTTCAAAATGAGGAGGCCAAGATATTCAGTTTTAACCCGCCTTAAATGGAGTTATTAGCGTACATCACTATTTTCCAATATTGAACTCCCCTCTTTTGTCCTAGTTTTATTTCGGGTATTTCATTTCTCTACTGGTCCTCGGTCTTTAATTTTCTCTCCAGTGTCCTTACCTTTTCTCTGACTCTCAGGATCTGTTCGTGAAGGTTTCTGGCTTTGTTGAAGAGTTTCTGACGAAGGTCTTCAGCGTCAGTCTTCTCCTGAAGCACCGCGTTCAGCCGTGATGACAACTTTTCTGCGGGAGACAAACTGAATTAGACTTTGAGGGGAACTACAGGAAATCAGTTTCTCCTGAGGTGCTAGCTGGGCTTTCTCTAGAGGGATAAACCTGAGGAAAATAGATTTTCACGAGATGTTCGGAAATGAGTTGTGTGGAAATAGAGAAATGAAACAAAAAGTGTAAAAACGAGTTAATTATAAGCCATGAGGAAATGCTGAAGGATGAGAGGTAATCATGACTGATCCAGGATAGGGGAGCATAGCTTCAATATCTTGGACCCAGTGACATTATTATTGATGTTAGTGCTATTGTTATACTGATAATAGCTTGAAGGAAGAAGCGTTTGAAGGCAACGAGAGCTGAATAAAGTAATGAATATATGTTACCTTTTGTCAAATGACCATTGGCTTTGTGTTTCCTGGAGCGTCTCCTCCCGTCTGCACCTCCACCTTCCTCACCGTCCGACTCCCACGCCTCTTGAGAGTTTGCGGCAACCATACCAACCTCATTGTCTCCCCGACCGTCTCCCCCAACTCGAATCTCGTAGGTGAGTTCCAGCTGGTCAGGTCTGGAGGTGAGAAGTCTGCCCTCACTATCCTGGACCACCCCGCCAATGACACCGTCCAGGGAGAGGATCTCAATGTTGGGCTTGAGAGCCGTGTCAGGCTTGTCAGCTAGTCTGGCTTCTCGCTCTGCCTGAAGTGCCCGCTGCCGAGCCGAGCCTGTAAAACACACACACACATACACTAATTCATCTCTGATACGATAATGCTGAATGCAGGTGCAGAATCAGCATGTATATTCCTCAGTATTATTCATTATACAGCAAACATTTTTTTTTGGTGACAGTTGGAGTGCATATGCTCATATGTCGTGAGAGGCAAGCGAATTCACACAGAAGAATAGGGTTATTAATTATTACAGTAATATGAAATGCTAAATCTAAGGGTGTCACTCAGCACAAGGAATGGTGGAGGCTCGATCTTCTGTCCAATAAGTGAGAGACGTATAGCGGTACTTGCCTAATTACCCCATTTCAAATTACGCAGAAAAGTGCTGTATATTTCTGCTTACCACTAGGGCCCCTCTTTAGTAGAAAGTCCGCTGACTACTGAAGAAGTTCTCTGCGCGAGGCCGAAATATACAGCACGCGTTCAGCTTTGTCTACATGAGAGCTAGTGTCAGATGAACGTTTACTACACTTATCTAATTGTATGTTGAGAGAGATTCATTCATTAAATATTACGTTTCTGATACAGTATATTACACAACTGATACAGTATCCTGAAACATGATCAAAACATATTCATGCAGATTTTTTGTTCTTGAAGATAAAATATTTAATGCAAACACTCACCATCGATCAATATATATTAATATTAACAGGAAAAATACCGGTAAACAAATGGAATGAGTTTGATTATGTGGTAAGTAGATAGTTGGCACATTTACGGAACACTGATCGTAGAGGTCACTCAGCACTCAATCATAAAAATCCAAATAAAATACAATAAAAACAAGGATAAAATTAAATATGCAGTAAAAAATTACCAAACAAATATTTTCCAGTATTAACGGGAAACTTATTACGTTAAAAGGCCCAAAAAGTTTCCTCGAGGTCCCTACAGGCATCTCGGTAGTAAAGTCACGACGAAAACTTGGCAAACCTAAAACATCTTCCACAGCCATCGGCACGTCACTAGCTGCACAGAGGCAGTCAGGAGCACCTGTTGATGTGGTGATGGAGGCAACTTCTATACGCAGTTTCTGGAGTACATACGATAGGGCTTAAGAGGCCAGAAATCTATAAATATAGTCCATTTCTTGAAAATAAGAGGCAGGTCCGGGAACCAAGCCTCAACCCCTGCAAACAATTCGTTGAGCACAACTTTAAAACATAAACACACTGACACACACACACACACACACACACACACACACACACACACAGTAATTACAGACACAACACTTCTGAGAATTTGTAATTAAACTTCAGTTATATATTAAAAAAATTATATACCAACATCCATTGTCACTGTCCCAACACTATTTCAATAAAGAAAAAACTGAGAATCGATTTAAAAATAAAATAGCAAGAGAGTTCAATCCACAACACTGAACGACGGATATATTTTTTTAATTAATTTAATAATCTCTACGTTAGGTTAGTCATTCTTGTCAGGGCGAGTAATTAATTACCTCAAACAACCATCAGAGATTGAATGCACCTTAAAGAGCCAGAGCTCACAAAAAATCTTACTCACTAGAGCTCAAAAAGCACGCTATACACTCACCAGAGCTCACGAAGTTCAGAAATTACCCTACGCAGCCAGAAGAGCTTAGAAAGCACCATACACAGCCACCAAGGCTGACGAATTATACAGAGCTCAAAAATACAATACATAAAAAACAGAGATCTCAAAATACCACATAGTTTGAGTGTGGTTAGTACTTTGGATGGGTAACCGCCTGGGACCTCCAAATGCTGTTGGCATTTATTTTCAAGGACAGAGCCGCGGGGAGCATTTACCCTTGGAACGACCACTAAGTAGTTAAGTAGAGCTTAAACTATCACACAACCAGAGCTCAAAAGTACCCTACACAACCATCATAGCTCAGAAAGCTCCTTAAATAATCACCAGAGCTTAAAAGGTACCTCACAGAGCTCACAGAGTACCTTACACAACCACCAGCTCCCACAAAGTACCTTACACAGCCACCAAATCTCACAGAGTAACTTTTACAACAGGCAGAGAAAAGTATATTAAAAAAGAAACAAACTTATTCTCTGTTGTTACAACCCTCCAGGTCATAATTCAGCTAGACGTTAGAATATTTAGCCTTGTTATTTACCCGGAGTAATGTGTCCTTGCTTATTACCCAGTCTGTTGCTTAATTATTATTTATAACGCACATAGTTAACGATAATTTACTCATGATTTATGCACAAATATGAAGGGTGTGCACTTACCTGTCAGTGGGTGTAACTGTGTACTTACACCTATTTGTGGTTGCAGGGTTCGAGTCGTAGCTCCTGGCCCCGTGTGTGTGTGTGTGTACACACAGTTGTGTTTGAGGGTCGAGGTTGGGTCTTAGCTCATGGCTCCTCAGACTAATTGCCAGGCATTTTTTGGTATCTGGTCTCTCAGCCAGATACCAAAAATGCCTGGCAATTAGTCGGCATCTTGCCTTATCGGAGATGCTATTGAAATTGCGTATTTCATATCATTTCATTAGCTTCTTTCATTACCTAATCAAGCATATTTCCCGAAGAAATATTTCCTGTGGCTCATTTGTGCTCTTAGTCAATGTGTCTTGCATTTCAGTGTCCCCCACCTGCTCTGTCAAGTTCTCTGGAGTATTTTGTACACCGCAATCATGTCTTCTTAAGTCGTCCTATCTTTAAAAGTTAGAAGATTAAATTTCTTTAACCTCCTCTCATAGCTCAGTTCCCTCATCTGCGAAAACACATGGATTTTCTAGTTTCCGAACTTGCTTAACCAGGTGTGGACTACATGCTGATGCTGCGTACTCTGATAGGTTTGACATATGTCATATGTAGTGTCCTGACCTAAAAGATTCTTAATGTCCCTGAGGGCAGTATTGCCATTAACTAATCTCGCATATGGTGCCTATGTTACGAAGCTTATGTCACCTCTGGCGATATATTTGGTGTGATGCTTTTCTGAACGTCTTTCAGTGATATCTGTCACCTCTTAAACTGCACTCTACCTAGTTTTCTCGCTCCCTCCCCATTTTAAATCTTACATTTGTCTGTGTTAAACTTCGGTAGCTACATATATGACCACTTTGTTCAAAATGTTCTATAACTTTTCTTTATCCTCTTTCGTTATTGCCCTTAGTGTTACAACTTCGGCAAACAATAATACGAAAGAGTCAGCCCCTTCTAGCAGGTCATGGTAACGGATCTAGTACTGATTTACGAGGGATCCCATTCGTTATCCTGTCTCATCTTGAAAAGTATTTCAGGATGAGACAGGTGTTATCGATAGGTGTACCTTGATCCGCAGTAGCCCTTTACCTTGTGCCTGTGCTGGCTTTTCTGATTTGTCAGTTTCTGTTGAGGCGCAATATCAAATGTTTTCCTGCAAATATTAATACGCAGTTTACCATTGTCCATATTAACTCTGGAAGGTTCGACAGGCAAGATTTCCAGAAATTCAAGGTTTTAAATATTTCTTGTAGTGATGTCCAGCTTCTTTGCGTTCCTAGTAAGCCTCTTCTTTATCTCTCATTATGTCAGGGAGCCAAGGCCCGGTCACCACTACTTGGTAAAGACCCGGGCCGGGAGAATACCGGCGAATAAAAAAAAAAAAAAGTGACAATGGCTTGTAATTCAGTACCTCGTTACTATCCTGTTCAATATTGCGACAGTTACAGTATTCCAAGTGTACGATAGTTGTCCCGGCTCTAGTGGCATGCTGTAGTTCTTTGGCTTGAGTAGGTAGGCAAGTAGGGCGAGTAAGTGTGTGTGTGTGTGTGTGTGTGTGTGTGTGTGTGTGTGTGTGTACCAAGAATAGTACTGCTGATATATTTCCCGCGGTTTAGAGCCAAGCTTGCTCTGTACTTACTCAGTTTAACTGAACCGAATAAGATAGTTTAATTTCTTTAAGCGGTAAAGGATGGGGTAATTTGTCTAAAGCGTAACGTGTAGTTACTCAGTGACATGGCACAACACTGGCGGACCCGGGTATAGATCAATATATAGTAATAGGACGTGAAGGCAACAGAGTAAACACCGAGGATGGACAACCTTGAACGAATCGAGATCGTATGCGTGTGTGTATATCTTGTGTGCTTTTATCAGGAAGAGTAACTCCAAGGCTAGCGTTAGGACCTGTCTCAAAACTCCGCGACGGTCTGGAGTTTTGAGACTAATCACGGGTTCTATCCCCACCCGTGGTATGTTTTTATTTTTTCCCCAGATTGAGATCAACTATAGCTGGTCATTCTCCGTTGAGACCAACTATAGTTGCTCTCAACGACAGGCGTTGTTCAGCAACTGAACGATTGAGGGTTTGCAATGTTTAGTAATTTGTCAAATATACCTTTCGATGGTGTTCATTTCCTTAGCTTTTATTATAAACCCTTGTTCTAAAAGGTGTACAGTCTTTAGTCCAATGTTTTAATGATAATCATGACAAAAAAAAAAAAAAAAAAGAACTGAACACTTTCAAAACGTATATTCAACAAACTACAAATTGCCAGAACCTTAGCAACAAAGCTGAACAAAGCCTGGTCCGGAGACCAAGAAGATTAAACTCTCAAACATATAACCCTCGCTCCTTGTCCTAGACATTCCATTGATCTGAAAAAGCGAAACTTCGATCAAAGTTTCCAATTACTGCTTGTGTGTACACGACTCTCGGTATTCCTGTACCATCCATTGTTACAACAGGACTCATTGCCCCGCCATGCAATTTATTCTGCTGCTTGCATTTCATGTATCTTTTTTTAAACAGCTTCTACTTAACACAACGACATAAGTGGAGGTATTTCCATGTAAATCTCAATTTATTTGCTGCTGTTGAAGGTTTTTGCCGTTCGATATATACTCTCCTTATTGTAGCTTACAATTTAAAAGTAGTAATAACGCTGATTTAGTTACACGAGCTTATGATTCCAGTGAAACTACAAATCATGTAATTTTAAATAGGATAAAACTAGTATGAGGACTTTCGTTAAGGATGGTGCCTCCTGA